ATCTATCTATCTATCTATCTATCTATCTATCTATCTATCTATCTATCCATCTGTTCATGTATATGAAAGTGCTGAAGAATAAAATTTTAAAATTATCATAATGATGCTAAAAATATATGTTCATATAAATAATCATGATCAAATGAAAAATGCATGGCAGTTCTGTTTTGCTTAGTATAATAATGTTGTCAATATTCTATGTGACCATGCTCACGTTTGCGTCTCCCTTGGCCATAGAGTTGCTTCACTGTAGTTACTTGGGCTTCTTGTAGCAAATTTTCTGGTGCAGGAATTTCACTTGACATTTTATAAGACACTGCAAAAAAACAATTGTTCAGTATACTAAACAGAAAATCCTATTATGAGCTAGCTAGAATTCAAATGTAAATGAATGTGGTCAGAGGTTTCTAGCCCGCTCAGTCCCACAATAAACACACAGAAACCTATATTATTTCAACCACTGTTTGGCCAATCACTTAACTGTATTGCTATCTAGCTCTTATATCTTAAATTAACCCATTTTTTATTATTTTATATTTTACCATGAGGTTTGTGGCCTACCAGGAAGGTTCCAGTGCATCTGTCTCCGGCAGTGATTACATGGCTTCTCCCTGACTCTGCCTACTCTCTCTATATCTCTTTCGGCCTACTCTCTCTATATCTCTTTCAGCCACTGGCCAAAAGCAGCGTCTTTATTAACCATTGGCAATAAAATATACTCACAGCATACATCACCTCCCACATCAAAAGAAAATGGCAACAACCTTTTCTCTCACTTTTAAATGTAAATAACCTAGATGCTGGACTTTCCAGAATCTTTCAGTCTACATTTTGACAAGTTGATATTAAGTGCAGTCAGGTAACTATTGGTCTATTAGCCACAAGATAGAAGATACTATTGTACCTGTACACCCAAGGCTCAGAAAGCATCTCAGAAGGGAAGAAGAAAGTCTTGTAAGGCTAGGAAACTAGAAGGCCGGCAGTGGAAAACTGACTTTTAAACATGACAGGGATGGTATACATATGAAATGTCAACAATATTGAGCATAAACAGCAGAGGCACAATGACCACCCCAGTTGTCATGCCAGTGTGGATGGAGGATATTTCACAAGGCTTCACCTCTAGAAAAAGAGCTGCAAGCAATTAATAGCTGAGAGAGGAAGAATCAGGTTTGTGTGTGTTTGTGTTGTTTGTGTGTAAATACATGTATGTGTGTGTGTGTGTGTGTGTGTTTGTGTATGTGCTTGTACTTACATATTTGTCTAAAGAGGAAGTGGTCATGAATTTGGAGGAAGGGGTAACACAGGAGGAGCTGCAGAAGAGAGGAGGAGGAGTGGAAATGGAATAAATACAGTATTTATGGACAAAATCTCAAAAAATTTTAATTAAACAGAATAATATATCAGCAAATAAGTTTTTCTTATTTGTTAATATAAGAAAATGAAATGACAAAATTTTATAAAATAAGGAACTAAATATGAGAAATAAAGAAAAAAGAAATTTAAGATACCTTTAACAAAATTGCAGAGGAAAATATTCCCAGTCTAAAGAAAGGGATGCCTATCAAGGAGAGGAGGTAGAAAGAACGGAAAATAGACACAGCCAGAAAGGAAATCCCCACGCACAGAGCACTCAAAAGAGTAACCGTGCAGAACAAAGAAATGATACTGAAAGCTTCAAGGTGAAAAGACCAAGTCACACATAAAAGAAGGGACATTAGAATAACATTTGGGTTTTCAAAGGTGACCCTAAAAGCCAGAAAATCTGGACAGATGCTCTACAAGCTTTGAGGGAACATAGATGTCAGCCCAAACTACTATACCCAGAAAAATATCACTCACATTGATGGAGAAAGAAAAACACTCCATGATAAAAAATAAATTCCAACATTTTCTGTCCACTGACCCAATTCTATAGAAGGCAGTGAAGGAAAACGTCCCAGTCAAGAGCTACACTCAGAATTGAACAAGGAATAAATAATCAGAAGAGGGGGAAGCCCACACCACCATAACAAAATTGGGCCAATATCCCTTATTAATATAGGTGCAAAAGTTCTCAACAAAATATATGTCAGTTGAATTTAAAAACACATAAAAATGATGATCAACCATGAATAAATTGGCTTTATCCTTGAGAAGCAGGGATAGTTCAACATATATAAGTCAATAAATGTGATCTACCAGAGAATCAGACTGAAAAAAAATCTCATTAGTTGTAGACAGGGTCTTTAATAAAACCCAACGTTGGCGGCGGTAGCGCATGCCTTTCACCCCAGCACTCAGGAGGCAGAGGCAGGTGGATCTCTGTGAGTTTAAGACCAGCCTGGTCTATGAGAACTAGTTCCAGTACAGGCACCAAAGCTACAGGAACCCTGTATCGAAAAAAACAGAAGACAAAACAAAACCAAAAAAAGAATAAGAAGAAGAAAAAGAAAAAGAAAAAAAAGAAGAAAAACAATAAAAAAATCAAATCCCAACATCTCATGATAAAAAGTTTGGAGATAAGGGACATAGCTCAATATAATAAAGTCAATTTATAGTAAGCACACAGTCAACATCATCCTTAATGGAGAAAAGCTCAAGAATCTATATGGAATTATAAGAGATTCCGAAAACACACACACACACACACACACACACACACACAAGAAAACAGGTAAATTCCATCACTTATAATAATATAAATGGCATCATGCTAGTAAAGCTTAACAAAAGACCACACATATTCTCTCTCTCCTGTTTCTCCTCTCTCTCTCTCTCTCTCTCTCTCTCTCTCTCTCTCTCTCTCTATCTCTCTCTCCCTCCCTCCACTGCCACGGGGCAGATGCAGAGGTACTTCCACTGAGAAGCACAGCAGGCATGCTTCCCACCTTAAACCTCAACCATTACACTTTATTTGAAAAGGTCAGGCCAAGGCTATGCAATACAAGTGGGGTATTAAAGATAGGTATACAGACCTGGTCAGTCATCCTCATCAGCTTAGACCACGAAACCCAATACGAACAGAACCGCCATATACGGGCTGTCCATGCATGCTTTGGCACTGCCAGGGCATAAGTTTCATTTTCATACATAAAGAATAGCTCTAGACTTATTTTTATATGTATTGTATGCCAAATTCTCAAAGAACCTAGCAACATCCCAGTTTTTTCACTACCAGAAATCGTCATCTCTTCTGATAAGTCCAGATGGATTTCTGATACACTTAAAGTTTACAGTGCTAATTCTACTCTTGGTTTAGGCAAAGCTGCCACTTCCTTCCCGCAGAAGTCTTAGTGGAAACGGAGTCTGAGTGATGTAGTGAGGCTACATCCAATTAATTCTTACATAAGCTCCAGTGAACATATGCATCATCTGGTACTATCTTACCTTGATATTTAAAAGGTTCTTACTACTGGGGAGACCCAAACCTTCACATCAGGATGTATAACAGAAAATCTTTTTACCTTCAACTTGTTCTGCTTCTGTGTGAGACAGGACATGTTCTGAAACTTCAGCCTTAACGACAAAAATTATAGTGGATAGTTACAAATAGTGTACATCAAAGCTCTATTTAATTTTTCTTTTATCAGGAAGCTAGCATTTCACCCTAATCTGCATTCTCATTTAAGCAACATTTTATTTTCATTACTCCCCAAATTTATTAAATAAAACATCATGAACAATATGAAGATCTTAGCTACACCTGGAATCGCCGAGACTACTGAAATGGGCGGTCAACCCACCATTACAGAATTACATTTTAGCTGACTTAATTCTTTAGAGAAAGCATAATGGCTCACGCCATGATAGAATAAACTGTGGAGACATGTCACGTGTACATGGACTGTTTCATCCCAGGATAGAATAAACTGTGGAGACATGTCACGTGTACATGGACTGTTTCATCTCATGATAGAATAACTGTGGAGATATGTCACATGTACATGGATTCTTTACCCTTTCTTTTCACCAACATTTTTGGCCCTAAAAATGCCAAACTAAATACTTTTCTAAGTAAAGTGGTTCTTACAGTTTCTTGGGTTTTTAAGTGTATATAAAATTACTCACAGTGGTTATGATTTCAGAGTCAAATTTTTTATACTATAAAAATCATTGTTGATGAATCTCGAATAAAAACTGAAAATTTCCCTCATCCTATGAATTAAATGTTTTAATTCATCATTAAATCAAATTTTCTGTCAGTATCAGCTAGCATGTCTTATACATCAATATTTTTCCTTAGATTTTCCAAATATTAATTCCAACATACTAAATACAAACCAGTTGTTATTAAAAAACAAACTTGCTATTCTCTGGAAATAAAGAAGTATTGATAAGGTTTAATCAGCAACCATTCAAAACACTAAAATCAACAGTTTTCGGGTCATACTGTACCACACCTTCTCCATTTCTTCAGCGAGATTAGGAAAGGACACCAGGGACCACATCTCCGTTTCCTTCGGTGGGGGCGAGTCTGATTCTAGGTACTCTTCAATGAGAGGCATTGCTGTAAATGACTTAAAGATCTCTGGTGGGAATGCTGGCACGCCTGGGACACCACCGTAACCCTCTAAAGGGTCTACAACAGGAGCGCTAGTGTCTGTCTTCTCCAAGCTTTAGAAGTACAAAATGTCCAACATTAGATGAGGTGGGGAACACTGGGTTTGCAACTGAAGAGACATTTGATTGACAAGGATATTAGGTAAGCAATTACAACGCGTCAAGTGATCAAAGGTGATTCGGATGCAAAATTGATGGCCCACGAGTTGAAGATGGTAATACATCTTGAGAGATGTGAAGTGGAGACACGAGACGTGCATTTAAAATATTGCAGTAGTCATTCATTATGATAAGAGGGCATAGAGCAAGCAACACTGGCTAGCCAAGTTGAATGTATGAGAGTCTGGAAGCTGAAACCAACCTCAGAATTTCATTTCAAAATGGAATAATAACCTCTCCAGAGAAGTTTTGACGATAAAAGTTTTTGGTTTTGCTTTTCTAAAAAAAAACAAGCCAACTTCAAGTTCAGAGTAAGTTTCCTTTGAAGTAAGGTTTGCAGTGTAAACTGAGGCACAGGCTTTAACAGTGTCCATGACACAGAGGGATCACATCCCCTATAGCTCATACAGTGCTGGAAGGACAAATCCCTTTCTGGCTGACACCCGTATTATTCTCCCATGTTGGGGCATTGCAACATCTTCACACCGAGTTACCAAGCAATGCTTGCCATCACAGCCACACCATGGACAAAAGCTCTTACTACATGAGCCAACCAGGCAAAACAGAAAAATGCCCCACTTTCTTACTCTCAATATTCTTTTCAGGGTAACTTTGCTTAGCTCTATTTTCACACTTTCAAGACATACTTCAGCCATGACCCTCCTCTTTAGGGGAAAAACAAAATTCTCATAGGTGTTTTTGTCTACACTGAATTTTTAATTATCAACTCAAATATAGAAGAGCAAATTTGATATTATCTTATTATAATATAAGATGTGGAATACAATCTTATGTAAGAAAAATCTGAGCTTCAAAGTGTATAAAATATTATAACCTAAGGTATTCTAAAATGAAATTTATAGAAAATATCAATATTGAAAATATAAAACTCAGTAGTTAAGTTGTCCACATGTGTGTGTGTGCAGGTGCATATACACAGATGTGGGCATGTGCGTGGAGGCCAGAGGATGACTAAGGTTGGCATACTCATAATTAATTCCTACCTCCTTTGAGACAGGGTCTTTGTGGGCCCAGAGCTCACCAATTAAGCAATTAAGCTAGGCTGGCTAGAAAGAGTGCCCAAAGGCCAGTTTCTTTTGCCTCTCCAGTGCTAAGATTTCAAGTGTATACCACCATGCCCTGATTCTGTCTATGTCGCTTCTGAGGACCAAATTCAGGTTTTCCCACTTGCAAGATAAGCACGTTACTAACTGAGTGTTTCCTTAGTTCTAGCACAGACATTGATAATTTAAAAATTACAAATGTCATTGGTCAAAATCTTCAGAGTAATGTGTTGTAGGCCCTTCAATTAAAGAGAAGCTCAGAAGGTTTAGTAGTCCATACTATTATAAGACTGCAAAAGCCATAGTTTAAAGATACTTGGATTAATTTACCTGGAGAAAATATGGGCGAGGATCACTAAAAAAGCCTGTATGTGATAGTTCACACAGGAAATGTTGACTGTGCACCTAGCTCCACCATTTTAATGATACACATCATTAAAAATAGAACTTAAGATATAAGGAAATTATATAAGACAAATCCAAACTATTCTAATAGTGGGAAAATTACTCTTTGGTGTAAATGATGAACAGGGTTTCTCTTCAGTGGTTTCTCTTTACCACTTTATAGCTTGGCCAAGACATGGTCTTCTGTGAATGCCTACAATATTGGACTTGACTGCTTTTCCCATGCCCCTTTCCCAGCTCAAGAGTTCTAGAATTACCTATTTTTTCTATGAACTTATAAATTACTATGTGGACAAGCTCCTTTCCCTCCTATACTTCCTATTGTTCATCAGAGGCCCCTAGTAGAAACATACACTGTTGAGATCTATGAGAGCCTAGTGTACTCCATGTGTTTGGCTACTACTTTGTATAAAGTACTCGATGAAGCTTATTATATAAAGATGTGGTACAGGACTCATTTGGTTATTACTGCTTTTGAACACAGAAGTTTTACCCCACTCTCAAGATGGGAAGTGACCCATGTGAAGTCTTATACCAGACAAGTGAGTTGCTATAGCCTGTATCTCAATGACTGTGTTGTAGATGGTCTCAAAAGTTCTACAAAGGACAAATTACTTGATCAAAGTGGAAGCAAAATTATATACCCACAGGTATATGGGACAGAATAACCTGGGGATAATAAAATGGCCAAAGAGGTAGAAAGGTTTCTTGAAAACATTGGAGCAGAAGATTTGATGCAAAAGAATATTCTGAAGAGATGTATTCACAAATTGATTGTTAATTCCCAAGTTATAGGCTGTTATATAATGTAAAGACCCTTCACTAGGTTTAGCTCCAGAGAGACCAGGGTTTGGCTATGTGGGGAAATCACTTCAATAGGAATAAAGTGTTTCATTTGTCTTTCCCCCTTGCTTCAACTACACTGCAAAGTGAGTACAATATAGTATTCATTTAAAAGATAGACATCATTCTTGCATTAGGATATTCAGTAGGTGGTCATCATGGCAGGCTCTCCTAAATAAACCATTTAATAAAATAGAGTGTCTGCATTCTATATCTATGGAGCATTAACAGATGTGTTTGTCAGGCATGCACACTTCTGAGTCTGGGGAATGGTTGGAGAGTACGTCAAGGGAGACAACAAATATGTTTCTATTCCAGATAGGGAGCAGACACCCAAAGCAGCTCTCTGTGACTTGTTAAGGATACGGGATCTAGTCTATGTAGCTCCCATGATGCTGTACTTCCACCTTCACCTACTGGTGAACCTGCTAACTATATCTTCTCTTCTATTGGCTAATACTTAGAAATCAGCTTGTTCAAAGCCAGGTCACAGCCAGAGGTGATGGGGAGACTTATGGTAATGAGACCCAAGCACAATGGCAAGACATGGCAGAGGCAGTTAGTTCTTCATCTCTGGGTGGTGTAGGTGACTCTCTTACTTCCCCTTTCATGACTCGGAAGAGATGGCTCTGCAGAAGGGCTAGGTAGAATCATGTGTGCGCTGCTCCACTTTCATGTGACTTTTTATAACGAGGGCATTGCCCTGACCAGAAAGCTCTCCCATGTACGTGGTTGACTGGGTATTCCCTATTATCTTCCAATTCCCCTATCATTTGGTAATGATACGTGAAGAGGGTATGTGAAGAGGGGTCCCTTTTTTGAACACTTTCAGGGATGAACTCAACTGTGCCAGTTTATGAGCATTTCTCCACAGAAGGGTGTCTTCCTTGAGGATATTTTACCTCCACTGTTTCTTATATTACTAGGTTTCCTCTAGAAAACCTCTCTTATGTCTAAGTCACTAGTTATAGACCAAGGCCAATGCAAAGAGCAACAGTTAACTGAATAAATTAGGAAATCTCCTCTGGAGTCCGTAATGGTAATATAAACTTTCACTTGTAGAATTGTAAGCAAATAAAATCATTTTGATAGCTTCTTGCATAATTAGATCTGAATCAACCTTCCCCATGCCGTGACATACATAGCCCCACATGTCTGGACAATTGGTGCCCAGCTGGTGGATGGTTTGGGATATGAGGTCTGACTGAAGGCAGGGGTCACTGAGGCTGAGTTTACTGGCCCAGCCACCATGCCAGTTCTTGCTGTGACACTGTGGACTCTGGAGGGCTCTGCTTCCTCTGGTTCGCTTCTTGTGTTTGGTCATAGCAATGAGAATAATACAGTTAGGGGTTTTAAAAACTTGGTTTCATTGTCTTTGCTATTCTAGAGTTAGCGTGTGCATTTGTTTGCTTTATTTTGTTTTCTGGACCCTCTCCTGTTTGCATGTTGGCATAAGGAAAGGGACCTATTTGCCTTTGCTGAGTATGAATTTCATAACTAGAGAATGATTGGCATTTGGGAGTGGCAAAAATACGTGTTGAGCAAGTGATAAATGAATGAAATAAACTTAGCAGCTATTAATTTATGGAAGAAAACCAGCATGGATTAACGCTTTTTCATTTTTGTCGTCTTGTGATTTATAATAGGCTTCTGTAATATTGGGGAGAAAGACTTTCCATGAAAATATTCTGAATAATGAAGATTGGATGTATAACTCTTAAAAATGAAACACCAAGAAATAGTTTACATTTTCATGCCTTGAAGGTTAAGTTTCAATGTGAAACACTTTATAAAATCTAACAATGCATATGTGTGAGGCAATAAACTATTAAAATCTGTTGTCTGATTAAATATTTATCACTAGCTCATTGCCTAAGCCAGAATAAACTGCTAATCATGCCACGTGCAGAAGAATGTTCTTTATTGTAAGCAAGGCCATATGTCTGCGGAGGTGGGGTCTCCTTTCGCGCCCATCCACTCTCGGAAGGTCGGGGGGCTTCCAAAGAATTTCACAAATTCTATTTGGATCTAAGGAGCAACCCAAAATGAAGGCTGGTGAATCATACTGTGTGCCATGTGCTTAACAGTTTGAATTTTAAACATATTTAGCGATACTTAAAATATGTCTGTTAACGGGCAATTCTATAAGGTATACCAAGTCAAAATGTCATACTTCTCAGTATTGCCTTTAGCCTATACTCCAAACAATACAAATCACGGGGTTTCTCCTTGAGCACCTTATGCAGAGTCTAAACAGGCTCATGTAGGCCTCACGAACTATCCATACGGGGCTATCTTTTATCATATTGCCCTGTAAAGGCCAACCCCATTGTTTCTGAAATTAAATGCCATATAATACTCAGCCTAGTCAAAGGTGTTGCATCATCTCGAGTGTGCTACACCACATTCAGCTTCTTCTGCATGGGTTACATCTAACCTGTTCTACTGCTCAGGCAGCGAGGGTAATACTTATGTGTTTGTCACCCTTTGCATCCCTTACACTCCAGCCGAGATTTTGCAGGGCATGGAGAGTTCCTATAACAATGATAAACTGAATGGAAATGAATTGAAATGATCTTCTGGATGCAATGGGTTCTTCCCTGGCAATATGCTTCATATTACCTGTCAGTTCAGTGATCTCCCATTTCATTCACTAGTCTCTGGCAAGTCTCAAATTTGACTCACTGATAAATGTGAATGGGGTGTAACATCTCCTGAGAAATTATTTAAAGGTGTACAGCAGGTGATAAGATTTGCTTTTTAAAATAAATTTATTTATTTATTTGAGACAGGATCTCACTCTGTAGCACTGATGGCTTAGAAATCCCTGACCTTGAACTCACAAGGTCTTCTGGCTTCTACTTTCTGAGAGCTGGGATTAAAGGCATGCACCATTATGGCCAGCCTGAGACTGCTTTTCTTAATGCCTCCATTGAGACTTCTATAAGATATGCTATGTTTTTAAAGTCTCCCTGACTCTGCTTTCTGAGATGTGGTTTACTAATGTAGTTTACTGGGTTTGTCAACAGCAGTATAAAAACAAGTTGAATCAATACTCATCACTTCCTCCTCAGACAGCACAGAACTTCCAAAGCCTGCTCTCCACCGCGTTTCTTTAGAGAAGCCACAGAACTCTGCCATACTCCTCACTCTCCCAGCATGAGTGTGACAGCATCCTGCTTGGTTTCTCTTTCCACATGGTTCTTGAGATGGTTAAGCTTCCACCAGGAGTCTAATTATCAGTACTTTTACTTATGATATTATTATATTTATGATGCTGACTATGCATTTTAAAATGTAAACAGACAAACTAGAAGCCCTTCTCATAGTAAGGTAGCAAAGGGAAAGGGAAAGCAATGTCTAGTGTTTGCTGAAATAGAAAAAGGCACGCACTTTAAAGATATATAAAAAAAAATACAAACATTAAAAATGGGGCCCAATGCTTGCTAATTGACTTGGCCCTGTGATCCAGGAAATCTAAAGATGTTAAGAAAGCATAGAAGCACACACTTCCAAGCATTCTCTCCTATTTTCTGCAAGGTGATCAAAGTAAAAACTTTATGCACAAGGCTTTGTATAATTAAGGAATAAATAAATAAACACTGGCAATTTATTTGTACTCAGTAAAAACCTAACTCCCCTGACAGAATGTGCTGTGTGGTAAGTACCCTGCTTCAGGAACATTGTCCCCGACTGAGCAGGTTTGTAGTAATCACAGCATGCTAACCAAAGAGACTCAAGGGGGAAAGCTATATGGTTTCCATGGGTGACTGGAGCAACTCAGCTAGCTTCCTGCTCCTGCATGCACCGAAATGGGAATGGCTGGGACAACGAAAGGCAGAATCGGGTTGAGTTGTTCATAGATCTAGGTCACATATTTTGATAACTAAATTCAAAGTAAGAGTCAGTTCATTGCTCTAGAAATCCAACCATGCTTTAAACCACGGCAGAAGACAGCACTCAGTAACAATGGTGCAATATTTTCCTTTTGTTATTGCTTGGCTTTATATCTCCTGACACAGGAGATGACAAGGTATAAATCCTTAATATAAAGTTATCCTAAAATTTTGAGTTTTGATTGCTTCTGACCTCCATTTTTTGACATCTAAACTTTGAAGCATTTTGTATGTGAAGTTAGTTGTCCAAGGTAATAGCACAGACCAAGTGATGGCATAAAGACTTGGTTTGCTATTTTAATGCCTACATATATAAACTGATGAAATTGTGAAAAGACAGAACAAACAAGAAATGTTTTACCTTTCATCAACTCACCTTTTGCTTTTCTCAGGTGGCACCTGTAATAAACACAAAATTAAATTTATGTGTAAAAATATGTATAGGCAATGTTTACAATGAATCGATTAGAGAAAACACTCAAAATAATTTTCCTGCTCCTCCCCGTCATTGACACAGATCAAAATAGCCTTGGCTAGCCTGGAGCTTATTATGCCAACCAGGCTGGTCTTGAATTCATAGGGATCTGCCTGCCTTGGCCTCCCAAGTTATGGGGTTAAAGGCATGCATCACAATGCATCAAAACAGTTTTCTAATATGACAATCATATAAGACATATGCTACAAAGGCTGAGAAATTATATTTTGGTATTGGAAGAGATTATGGAAAAACTATCCCTGAAACTTACATTTCTTAATTAAGAGCCAATAGTGGTTTTTAAATAATAATATTAGTAGATGAAATTATTTTAAAAGTATCCACTGCAATATTATTTTAAATGAATGTGCTGTTGTTTATTATAGTAATGCACTAACATGATATTTCCTTTAGAATTTCTGTATTTTAAATAGCCACTGAGTATGCCTACTAGAATATTTATTGAGGTGTCTGATCAGAGAATAACCTGTGGCCTAACAAATGTGATTTTATTAATAGAAGAATTCCTTTGGGCAGTAACAGGCATTTTTCTGTCACATAGATGTTGACACTGGGTTCCATGCCAGGCCCAAAGATCAACTAGTTTTGCTTCTTTCAGATGAACATTCTTTGCTCGCCTGCAGCAAGACTTCCGGCAGTTCACCTAATGGATTCCCTTGTCTTCTTAGACACGTTGCTAGTCTGCATCTCTAAGTTTCCTACAGCTTAAATGTGGCGAGCAGAAAAGGCCAGTGCAGAGCAGCAAGGCTGAGGGTGGTACCAGATGCCACTTGTATGATGGTGAAGATTCTATATGCCAGGACACATGAATGCCCGCAGAGAGCTTCCCAACAGATACTGCCCCTGGCCTACCCTCAGTGATGAACTGGTATAACAGAGCCATTTCACGTTTTGTGTCTGCCACAAGAATCACGCAGCACGCTAATATATCACAAAGGATTTTCATACAACCAAGCAGAGAATGGTGACTGTGATAAAAAGCACGAGAAATGCATGCAGTAGTGCTCACAAAATACATAAGCAGTTTGTGAACATTATGTCATTTTATACTAATTCTTTAAAGCGCTACCGTATCCATTTAATTAAGGACTGAAAGAGAGTTGTGCTCAGCTCCTGACAGAAATAATAGCAATTCTGTCCCCTTACTAATTTAAGCAATATTGCAAGCGAGCCACTCTTTTTCCCCTCATATTTAAGATCACACGGCAGAAGACAGCACTCAGTAACAATGGTGCAATATTTTCCTTTTGTTATTGCTTGGCTTTATATCTCCTGACACAGGAGATGACAAGGTATCTACATGAAATCCAGATCCCAGAACTGATGCCCAGTCTCCCACAGCAGACACAGAACTTACCCTGGACAGTAACCATGCCACAGCCAGGAGTACTGGCATACCAAGAGAGGGACAGTAGCAGAAACCGGGGTAAACTCATTTACCATATATGAAAGGGACTTTTAAACCATGGGCTCAATAAAGGGGAATAATCCACGTGTCTTAGCAACTCATCATTTGTTTGCTTTAAAAATACAGGTATTTATACATCACTCCTTTGCCTGACATCTTTCCATGGTTCTTTCTGTCTTGAGTATCGAAAGTCAAGCTCCTAAATTTAGTGCCCAGTTCAGGATGGTCACAATCTCACTCAATTTACTTTTAGCAAACAACCTCTCGATTGCTGACCACACGCTCATTCCAGTAAGGACTTCTCTTGTGTATGGTCTCGCCATAACCAAAAGTTCCCCAGGAAACTGAGCCTTTCTGGTGCAGGGGATGTAGTGAGATGGAGAACTTGCCATTTCCAAGATCAAGCATGACTTAGTGTCTCATCTCTCCCTGACTTTGTTTCTGTGTGGTTGTTTTCCTAGCTTCAGAATAGCCTTCTGTGACAGCTTCCTGACCCCGTCACAGCCTTCCGGGGTGCGCCAGATGTTCTCTCTCAGCTTTGGTCTGCGGACTGAGAGAGTTAATCCCATTTGGGGAAAACAATAGCTTTACAGCTCTATAATTAAAATTAAAAGTTATAAAAAAATTTCACCTCTAAGGGCAATATTTAATTCCCATGCATTTCTCTAAGTTGTTGGTGTTATAGGATGTAATTATGTAAGAAAAATAAAAACCTGTATGATATTAGAATGGCATACTATGAGCAGGGAAATTAATACCATAATGTCAAGGAGGGAGTGTTGAAAATCAATTTATTTCTTCTTAAAAGAAAACTCAAGTCTTTTAACTAAAAAGAATAAAACAAAAAACCTAAAATCTCATTACAGAACGAAAAATCAGTTAATATTTTGAGTTATGAACTTTGAAATGATGTCTAAATATAGCTAGAGTGTACGTGATACATTCTTGCCATCATCATCATCATCATCATCATCATTATTATCATTATTATTATTATTATTATTATTATTATTATTATTATTATTATTATAGGGAAGGCATTGATCCTTAAGACCACAGCCTACCCAGGCCTGAAGTGATAACAAGTACACCTTGCTCTATGTGGATCCTAAGGCCAGAGCAGTCAAAACTGATACTGTGAGTGCCCCCATCCCTAAAGAGACCAAGATCCAGGAGGCCCAGCTGAGGCACACCTGGATCTTGACCTTCAAATCTGAGATAATCGTGTATGCTGTCTGGGCCATGAAGTCCTGTGGCAACTTATTACACAGTCAAAGATAACTAATTGAAATGCTACTTTTCATTCTTCACCTTTTTATTTTTTTTAAAAAAAGATTTATTTATTTATTTATTTATTTATTTATTTATTTATTTATTATGTATAAAGTATTCCTCCTGCATGTCTGCCTGCTGGGCCAAAAGAGGGCACCAGATCTCGTTAAGGATGGTTGTGAGCCACCATGTGGTTGCTGGGAACTGAACTGAGGTCCTCTGGAAGAGCAGCCTCCGCTTTTAACCCCTCAGCCATCTTCCCTTCTTTTTGTAACAGAAAGATTTTCGAAAACAAGGGAGAAACAAGCAGAAGTGGCAAATTGGGAAAGCCTGAACATAATAGAACACAAAGTGTTTTCCATTGACTTGGAGAGAACTAGTGTGGCCACAGCGGAAGACACATGTCCGTATGCACACGTGAGCATCGTCATGAGAGCACGCATGAAGACCTGCAGACTGAGCAAGGAAGAGGCTCAGTTCCCAGGAAAGGATTAGGTCCAACAGACCCAGAACAAAGTTCAAGAAAGCATTTTTAGGTCGGGGTTGGGGGGGGGTGAGTTTCTGAATCCACAGTTCAACAGAAACAAAATAAAATAATCTTTAGAATTTTCCTCTATGATTTTGCATTTATATTGAATCTTATCCATTTTAAGCTTGATATTTTTATTCTTTGAAACCCTATTTTCTTCCTGTTCTCAAATAAATGCTTAAATCATTACCCAAAATTGTTAACTTATAGTTGGTATTTCAAATGGCAATGAATCCATACATCTAAAGAGTAAAAGTAAGAAATCCAAATAAATAAATCCAATTTATGCAAGTAAAGTACAAAAGGATATGAAAATAGATTTCTTGTAGATTATATACAGACTGCTTAGTTCATTTTTCTCCCTCACCTGGTCATAGATCTGCTGTTGTCCACCCAACTGGGCATCTTTCTCCACAAACAGGGAATGTTTGGAATCCTCACGCCCACTCCTCGATCTACTCAAACCCCGTTCCACTTTCGTCTTACTCTGCTCTTCTTTAAGCACCTCCATCTCATGGTGTAGGATGTACTCGAGTTGATTCTTGTTTCTCTCAGCTTCCTGTTGGTGAGAAAGCAGTTTGGCCGTTAGTCCGGCTTCAGTTACATCTCCTCGCCAAAGGACGTCTTTCAGGAATCTGTGCTCATTGGCACCAAGGTTTTCTCTAATTGACCCGGGGAAGCTGAGTTAAATAACCTGGGGTAATGCGACAGCTTTACAATTAGCATCAATAAAAGTTATGAGGAGGTTGGAAAAACAAAGAATAGTAATTTAAAAAGCTTCCACCTTTGTCTTATTAAAACAAAGCCCAGACATTTTTCCAGGTTTTGATTTTTAAGACCATGATGAACAGCAGCACCCAGAAAGTCCTCAAAATGGGGGTGCTTCCAATGTCAAGGATCAGAATTTATTCTACAAAGGAAAAGACGAAAAAGAAAAGTCACACCAAAAAAAAAAAAATCCTCACCACATAGAAAAGTCACTCAACATTTATATGGATTCACTGGTATATCTATGGATATACACTTTGATTCTATGTATACTGTATTATGTTATACACATATAGTATTTTCATTAAAATGCCATTTTTACAACAAAATATATTTTCACAAGGATAGATAATAGAATACATTTGGCAACATGGTGTTATTTAATTTGCAAATACTTTACCAGTGCTTTGGTCAATTCAAAACTTTTTGTATTAAAATTCTTTATACCTTAGTTGGAATTTTCTGTACATTTTTTTCTTTAGAATAAACTTTTAGAAGTGAACTTAATAAATGAAATGGCTTCATTTCCCCCAAGACTTTCACCATTTGTTTCTCTCAAAGAAGTAACAATTCACAGAGATATAATAAAAACAGGGGAAAGATTATTTCTTTTGGCAAACATCTGCAAATATTAGGTATTTCTGTTCCTTAAGTCCTAACAGAACTACAGGTGAGTAGCACCACTGGGTAAAGTGAGATTCAATTAGCACATAGCTGAGTCTCATCCTTTACATCTTATAGTAGCTGTCTTATGCTCAGTAATAACTACATCTGCACACACGAGCAGATTTCTTTATGCTTATGTTTCAATGTGAAAAACATGATGCACTGAAATATTGATAATATGAAACTTTCAAGCTGGGAAACTTATGTTTCTTCACTCTTCATCTACGACCATAAAAAAAAAATCTATCTTTACTTTTGTTAAATGTTATCCTAAATCATACTAATTTTTTTGTATTACATTTTCTGAACGATGTAGTTCAATAAATATTTTAGATAAACATCTATCGCTTTTTCATTATTTCATTATAAAATCCAGTCTCTTTGTTACTAGTTACCTTAAAAATTATATAATAAATGAATTCTATATTTTGAGTAAAAAGTTATACAGAATATAGTTATGTGTGTAGCTATTTATATTCTTTCTATATCCATTTAGATATAGAAAATTTTATACCTCATTTTAATTTTTCCTTGGCTAGAATCGAGAAAGAGCAGAAATAGGCAATGTACTCATCTCATTAGCTTTAATTGGAACCAGGAGTCAGTTCTTCATTCCTTTCTTGTCCATGTGTATGGGCATCTGAGTGTGGGTATGTGCACGTTTGTGTGCAGTTTCCTGTGCAGCCCAGTAGAGGGTAGCAGATCCGCTGGGGCTGGCTAAAGGCTGTTGTGAGCCATCAGACATGGGCTGGGAACCAGGCTCCCATACTTAGCAAAAGCAGTATACACTTTTAATTGTGAGTCCTCTCTCCTCCTCTGAGAAGATAGCATTTTACATTCAAGTAAATTGTGAATCGGCAGTTTGAAAGAGACATTTTTGTCATGGAAAAGGGCTTATTTTCCTTCTGAATTGCTGCTTTAGATAAGAATGAACATTGTGTTCTATTAATATATTCACATGCATAAATGACTGCGTGCACCGATGTATTGTGTGTATGTGTATGTGCGTTTGTAGTGTGTAAATATACACTTGGTGTGCATATATATGCATATGCGTGTATACAGGATGCACACTTGGTTTTTAAGATCCAGGTTTAGAAAGCTCCTGCTGGGCATCCTCTGGGCTCGCTGTTACTCAGAGGCACTCCCCTCACCTGCAAAGCCCATTTCAGTTGCTCCTGAAGGGCTTTCTTCTCCATCTTCAGTGCTTCTGCTTCTTTCTAGGAAGTAAAAAGAATGACGTTCACTCTGGTGCTTTTCAGATTTACTTTCTGTGGTTATGACATGTCTCAAGTTCACCGATTGCCAGTAGGATGGTTTGAACACATCTCGCTAGAAAGCTCTCCTATGCAGTGGTGAATACTATCTGACACTGTATCTTCCTGTTGATTTCTCAAAGGCATGCTAACCTCGAATCTGTAGATTGCAGCTACTACAGTTGGAACATTTCCCATTTTTCCAGGTCTGGCATATTTCAGTGGAAATGTGTGAAATGTTACTAGACCAAGAATCTCCAGTTTTAAATTATAGTCCAGGTTTAGCAGAAATAAGTACATTACACATTCAGAAAACCTATGGTGGATATGTTTGAGAACCATATCTAAAGCCCTGTGTGTGCCTCTTGTGTGTCCCGTCAAGCTCCTTGAGGACAATCTAGGCGGCATCTAACCATTGTGCACTCTGCACAAAAGAGAATCACCAACACTGATGTGCAAACAAGGGTAAGTGGTCCATGGAGGGAAAGGAGGCCAAATGGCAACAATGGTAGCATCCACAATTAATCATGGTTTAAAAACCAAATGTGTGGACAGAACAGCAAGTTGGCTACGACATTGAAAAAGTGAAACCACATAGACATATCAATGTAAAATACGTAAATACAGAGATAAACCTTTCACAAATGTTTGAGGAGCACGTAAAGTGGCGTTGGATTTCTGTCACCCAACTGTATCTTTGTACAGGGACAGAAAGAGGTAGAAATGGGTTTGAACCCTTGGCAAATGTTACATACTCAAGATGCTGCGCACACTCCCACTTAGTGTGATAAGAACAGTCATGGCCCCGTGCAACAAAACCAAACTGTTGAAAACAATGAAACAGTGACAATTAGAAAGGAAAAAACCAAACAAACACGATGCAGGAAATAGACACCATGAAGGCTGCATTTTGCCAAAAACACTAACATCAAATAAAAATAAAAGACTGGGGCTGGAGGGATGGCACAGTGGTTAAGAGCACTGACTGCTCTCCTAGAGGACCTGGGATCAGTTCACAGCACCCTCATGCCCGACACTCACGGCAAAATACAAACGCACATAAAATAAATAAACTTGAAAAAATAAAAACATCTTCAAAATGTAAAACAAATACCTGTAAATCTCCTTTAATAAAGCAATTGCTTTAATAAAAAGTTTGAAATCTGTATCATTCTTCTTATTGAAATCTGAGCGGAAATGACATCTACTAAAACAAAACATGTAGCAATGGAGACACAGAGCAAACAAACCTCCAGCCACCAATCAGGGATCGCAAGGAACTGGAGACTAAAGAAATGTATGGCAAAGAGGTCAGAAATCGAGTCAGGCTTTTAATGTGACTCAGACACCTCAGAGGAGACCAGAGCTCCAAAAGGGCAAGTGAGCCTCCAAAGTGGGGTTCCTAAGAGGCAAAACAGAAATGACAGGCAGAAAATAATTTTATATCATTTAAATATATAAACTCAGAGAGGGTGTATCTTACTTGGATTTGAACCAGTTCCATTTCTTTGGTTGGAGACAACTTCCTGTAATTAAAAATATTAAAAAAAAATGTATCAAGATATTTGAAAACACACCACTGCTTTGCTTTCCCTAGGACTGTAGACCATTTAAAATCTTAAAAGAAATACATGCCTTTAACACACACACACACAAACACACACACACACACACACACACACACACAGAGAGAGAGAGAGAGAGAGAGAGAGAGAGAGAGAGAGAGAGCATACTTATGTTCAGGTCACAGTGTATGCTTGGAGGTCAACATTTTTTTAAAGAAAGTAAGAGTTTCTTTTATTTCTAAAGAGTCAGTTCTTCGCTTTTACCTTGTGTTTGGGTCAGGAGCTCTTGTTTCTTCCTTTGCACTGCACATACGACCTGCTCCTGTCTCCCATCTTCCCCGGGAGAGCGCTGGGATTATAGACATGAGCCATGCATCTCTTTATGTGGGCCCCAGGGATCAAACTCAGGTTGTCGGGCCTATGTAGCAAATGCTCTTACCTGCTGAGCCATCTCCTCAACCCCTCACACATTAAACTAATCATTAAATCCATGAGAGTTAAGTAGTAAATAAAGGAATAACTTCTCTGAAGCCAACTTTTCAATGGTATGATTAAAACATGACATGGCTAAGATTTTGAAAGTGTGTTAAACATTTATCTTCCCTAACCACGATTCTTCAAAGAACAAATTTTGGGTCTAATAAGTTTCTTTCCAGAAACTAACACTCTCTGCAAACACTGAATTCATTAAAATACTTTATTCCAAATAAGGTATACCAAGAAAATTTGAATTACAATCACCAATTTGCAATACTTATATTCACTTAGAAGAACCATGTTACAATAATCCATTCATAATAATAGGTAATTGTTTCTTTTTTTTATGAAACTGAACATAATTAAAACCTGCAGCAGAAGAGAACAAGTTCCAAGAAAGGAACCGATCACACATCTCCATGCCTCACCTTTCTGAATCTTTATCTTTTTTCTTTTCTGGTCTTGTGAATTTTTTGGCTCGATCTTCTTTACTTGTCGGCTTTGCTTTCTGCACAGTTTTGAATAAGTCAAAATTAAAATAGTTTGAGTTATGGGAGGTGTATGGGAGTATATGCTGCTGAGCTTTCCCCTGCACCCCGAGTGCCACTCTACTGTAGCCGGGGAAACCATCCGAACAGAAACAAAGCAAAGTTAATGATATACCTACTGTTCATATTTGTACTTAACAGAAAAGATAAGGCGGGGCTACTTGCGCATGCCCACATGTGTACAGGTCAAGGGTCCTCTACTGCTCTCTAGCTTCGCTTTTGAGATGTAGTCTCTCATTTAACGTGGAGTTCACCATTTCAGCTCAACTGGCTGGACAGTAAGCTCCTGGAATCTGGCCATTTCTATGCCCCAGTGCTGGGGCTACAGATACACACCACTGTGCCCAGTCTTTCACGTGAGTGCTGGGGATCCACATTCAGCTCATCACGCCTGTGTAGTAAGCATTTTACTCACTACTGATCTCAGTATCCTCTGGATCCATACATTTGAGTAATTTCATATATTGAAATAATTAACTTCCTCTGACAGTTTCCCAGTTCTGCTATGGTGTGGCCTATGGCTCCTGAAAGTCACCCCATTGTGCCATACTAGCAGTGGAGCCGACAGGACATGGAGAAATGTGTTAGAATGACATCATACAAAAATACCATCAGTGATACATTTAAAAACTAAGGTGAATGACTCAGAATACACAAGTTTATTGAGAAGATACAGTCCCATGTCCTGAATGTTTAGAGGTTGAACCTGAAGGGAAACAGGCTTATCTGAAACTGCAAAGAAAACTGAAAAACCACACATAGCTTATGTGAGACTTTGTATCTTGAGAATCATTGAGCTGGCAAAGCTGCCTTCAACTGGTGTTTAGTCTGACGAAATGACACACACGCAGAAGTGAAATTCAAATTATACTAAGTTATGCAACATACTTGGTACAAATTTGTGTCCTAAAACCATCAGTATATCATAGCTGAACATGTGTTAAAGCATTTCTGAGACAGGATTTAAGTTGTCTAGACTGGACATGAGCCCATGAGTCCATGATCCTCCTGCCTCAGCTTTCAAATGATAAAATTGCAGGTATACATCAGCATGCCTGGGCAAAATATTCTTGAACTACTCTGAAGGACCAGACTACTTTATATATGAGTGTAGAGAAAGAATTTTTATCAAGTATTAAAATTATAGATAATGATAAAGACAAATGAAAGCAGCATGTGATTATTTTATATTAAAAATTCCAATGTATACAAATATACTATCATGGTAAACTTATCATAAGATAAACATAGGTGAAATAATTCTCCACAAATAAAAAGTTACAGCCAGGAAGTAGTGGTACACACCTTTAATTTCATTACTCAATATCAGAGGCAGGCAGATCTCTGTGAGTTTGCGTCCAGTTAGGGTTACACAGAGAAACCTTGCCTCAAAAAATTCTGACTTTCAACCACTAACAAATTTATGAAGTTAAATATTTTCCATAGAAATGTCTTTCATGAAATTTAGGAGGATACAGAAAGAAAGAATTCCCATGTTCATGGATTGATAGAATTAACATAGTAAATAAAAGTAGCCATCCTACCAAAAGCTGTCTACAGATTCAACACAATTCCCTTCAAAATTCCAACACAATTCTTTACAGACCTAGAAAGAACAATGCTTGACTTCATATGGAAAAACAAAAAACCCAAGACAGCTAAAACTATCAGGTATCACCATCTCTGATTGAAAGCTGTACTACAGAGCTGTAGTATTAAAAACTGCATGATATTGGCATAAACACAGACACATTGATTAATGGAATTGGATTGAATTTCCAGACATAAACCCACACACCTGTGGCCACTTGATTTTTGATAAAGAAGCCAGAAATATATAATAGAAAAAAGAATCTTCAACAAATGGTACTGATCTAACTGGATGTCTGTGTGTAGAAGAATGCAAATAGGATCATATTTAACATGCTGCACAACACTCAAGTCCAAGTAGGTCAAAGACCTCAACATACAACCAGACACACTGAACCTGGTAGAAAAGAATGTAGGGAATGTCCTTGAACACACCGGAGAAGCAGACACCTTCCTAAACAATACTAATAGCACAGGCACTAAGATCAACAATTAGTAAATAGGAACTCGTGAAACTGAAAAGCTTTTGCAAGGCAATGGACACTGCCAGAGGATGAAATGGCAGCCCACAGAATGGGAAACATTTCACCAACTCCACATTTGAGAGAGGGCTAATATCCAGACTATATAAACAACTGAAGAAATTAGACAGCAACAAACCAAATAATCCAACTAAAAATGGGGTACAGATCTGAACAGAATTCTCAGATGGCCAAGAACCACTTAATGAGATGCTCAATACCCTTAGCCATCAGGAAAATGCAAATCAAAACTATGCTGACTCACAGGATACTTCAGTCAGGACTTGATTATAACTCTAAATCTTCTTTAGGTCCTTATAAGATTATCAGCACCCCCAACCAGCAGGAAGTAGCCTGGAAAACTACGCCCACATTCCCAAAAAAAATGGACTATAAATATTTTCTTTTGTTTAAAAAAAAAAAAAGAAGGAGAAGTGGTGCCAATCAGTTTATAATCTTATGGAGTCCTCTGTACGATTTTCTTTGGGGCTTGCCGGTTGTGGGGTACCAGGCGGGACAGAAACCCCAACGAGCAAGCCGGCCCTCATGTTACAGCACTGGATCTGGGGAAGAGAAGAGGCAGTGGCGGGAACTGGAAGAGGTAGAGGGAAAGGAGGCAGCAGTGGGGATGCATTGTATTAGAGAAGAATATTTAAAAAGAAAAAAATGGTTAAAATGAAATAAATGTTTATCACAATAACTGAGCTGTTTCTGTTTTCTTAGCATCCTTACGGATCTGATAGTTAATACTGAAATTCAGAGTTTTGATTTGGGTTTTTAAATCAGCTTCTAAAAATTATGACTATTAGAAACATGTCATAAAACAAGTAAATGTCATTTTGAGTCCCATTTCTATGGGACTAGGTCTTCTTGGGTATGGCATTTTCATCACTCGTGAGCACCAACCTCTGGCTCTTTCATCCTCTGTATTTCCTTTTCCAGTAGGGTTTTCTCCAATAATAACATCTGAAAATCAGTTTCCATCTGCTTATATTTCTAAAGATAAATGAAATAGGTCTAATCAAAATCAAGCATCTCAGTAATATTTATTTCAATACTCAGTTATTAATGTAATTCTAACTTCACTGAATCATGAAAAAATGAGCCACTAGCATGAATTTCTAAGTTGCCATTGTGACTGATCTACCTAGATCAGCAGGAGACTCCAGCTTGGTATTTCAGGAGTGTTTCTGAGTGGCAATGATGAACAACAAGGGAAAAGAGCATGCAACGCCTTCTGGTTCTGGAGCTCAGAGAAGCTGGGGGAACTGAGCAAGTGATAACCTCTAGTTGCAATAGAAAATGGTTGTTTGTGGAGTCTCTTCAAAAATCAAGGACAAAGTACAATATTAAATTAAAAACGTTATACTTACAGTCTCAACTATACTCTGATCATTTAAAGCTCTGAAAAACAGACAAAAGTAGCTATGCTGTAATAAATATGTACAAATGTTTTAGTTATGAAGCACATTAGATTTTTAACAGACTCCCCTGTCTTTTCTCACAACCTCTTCTTGTGCTGTAGACAACATCTAGACTCCTGCCAGGATCTTCCCTACATGCATCCACCCACACAACCCTTTGGGCGGCTGTCACCACACCATATCACACCCAAATATCCCACATCTTCTTTCAGAGTCCAGCCTGATGAGTATCTTCCCCACCCAGTCCTTGCTTTTTCACATCCCACCAGACCTTGCGTGGATCCCAGCCCTCTGGCCTAGTCTGGCTAGCCTTGGCAACTACGACCTCGCGTGGATCCCAGCCTCTGGCCTAGTCTGGCTAGCCTTGGCAACTACGAAACGGAAAGGAAAGCTGTACAAGCAGAACAAATAAAGTGGAAGACAGAATATCAGGTTTCAGAGACAAAGTAGAGGATCTTGACCAAACAAAAAAGGAACCTGAAAAATTAAACAACAACAACAACAAAAAAAAATATATAGGAAATGAACACACAGGAAATGTTGGACACTATGGAAAAAAAAAAACTGCCTCCAAAATATAGTCATACATGAAGAGAAAGAATCCCAAATCAATGACATAGAAACCAAAGTCACAGAAAACTCCCCTCAACAGAATGCCTCCCCCATACAGATGTAAGAAGCACACAGAACACCAAACAGACAAGGCCAGAAAAGAAAATCCCCATGGCGTATCATAGTTAAAACACTACTTATATTCTGAAAATACCTGCTGTGGCATGTTGTACAATCCAAGGAAATTGTTTAGAAAAATGTATCACCTAATGGCAAACTAACCCATGTTGAGAACTGGTGATTCTATCAGAACTATCTCACAGAAACTAACATGACTCACTCACAGCCAGTACATTTGTGCACCCTGACCCTGGGAGTGTGATTTTCTTCTCAAAAGCTCCCTTGCATCATACAAAGCAAAATGTTTATTTGTACGTGTATGTGCACACAAGCACACAACCATGGTTAGTGATTTACACTCAAAAATATTTTTTACTTACTTTGTCCCCCTGTTTTAACCTTTTCCCAGTTTGGAAATATTTAGTCAGAACAGAAATGTGTGGACTATATAATAATACCTAGGAAGGGAAATCCAACATTCATACTTGAGTGGAGAGACTCAGTATCAGAAGCTCCTGTGAGGGTCTTCCTCATAAGCTTATTCTTCCCAGAATTCCATCGTCCTGATTTATAATCATTGCTAGTGTTTCTACTTGTAGACAGTGTAGGTTAGCGTCATGTGATTACTGAAATCTGCGTCATTGTGTTTAAAACCCCAAGGCTACAGAAAAGCAGCCAGGAGCTACAATGAACTTTTCCACACTTCACTTAAATTCCTAAATTTTAGTGTTTTGCTATGTTTCCTTTGTGTCTTAATCTCTGTGTATGTATATATGACATGTATGTACATGTACATATGTGTGTATATATTTGCTGAACCATTAAAATAAACTCTAGTTTAAAAAAACACTAAGGATACATAACAAAAGCTACAAGAGAAAAATCACAAATCACAAATCAATCAGGAAAACTATCAGAATGAAAACTGATTTCTCAATGGAAACTTTGAAAACATGGAAAGCCTGGAGCAATGTATTTCATGTACTAAAAGACTCTGATAGCCAACCTAAAATAATACATCCAGCCAAAATATATGATATGACTAAAGGATAAATAAAAATTTTCAGGAGATAAGCAGCCTACAACAATTATAAACAACTCAGCAATCCTAAGGAAAGTACAGGAAAGATTGTTTGGGCTGAAGAGAAGATGAATATAGCATATGACAAGAAGAGCAAAGCCATAATCACTAAAATGGCTAGGAACACATCAAAAAATTCTCATAATCCCTAGCCATTAAGGGAATGCAAATAAACAACTTTAATATTTTATTTTACCTGAGTCAGAATGATGAAGCTCAATGGAACAACAGACCACAAATGCTGGAGGGATGCCAAAGGCGTGGGGCAACCTCATTCACTGTTAGTAGGACTGCAAACTAGTGCAGCCCCCCAGGGAAATCAGTGTGACCCAGCTACACCACCCCTTGGCCTGTGGCCAAAGGACTCTGTATCATACTTCACAGACACTTGCTCAGCCATGTTCACTGTGTCTCTATTCACAATAGCTAGGAGATAGAAAAAGGATCTCTGTGAGTTCAAGGCCAACCTGGTCTACAAGAGCAAGTTCCAGGACAGGCTCCAAAGCTACAGAGAAAGCCTGTCTTGAAAAACAAAACAACAACAAAAATACTCAGTTCTAGTGAAATCGTGGTTATTGGAAGAGAATTTACAATCACTAACTTACTAACCCACGATTATCCCTAACAACAAGCTATAAGTATTTGTATTTATACCACAGATAAGTGTTCTCTTCACCCGTCATCAAGGAAATTTCTCTTTGCAACCAACAGAGACCATGACAGAAAACCACAGCCAATCAAAATGCAGAGTTGTGGAGCCCCGAACCAAAGGTTCCATGTACAAAGCACTCTAAAAGTTAAGACTCAGAGACCATTTGGGAAGAAGATGTGGAAAGATCGTAAGAGCCAGAGGATCAGGGAGGTTTCTGTGAGATCATACCTCTCAATAACATCAGAAGCTACACCTGTGAAGTATCAGCAACAGGACTGCCAAAACATGCAGTGAACAAGGAGAACACGAACGAGCAGGTCAAACTGATTGGGGAAAAGCTACAAAGCTCTGTACGTATTGAACAGTAATTGCTGCTTACTCTGCTCCTCATTCCTTGATGATCATTATTTCACACACTATAAATCTGACCACTCTAGGTAGCTCCTGTAAAGGGAACCATATGCTTTTAGTGTTTTTGTGGCTGACTTGTTTGATTTAGCATAATGTGCCCATGTTTTAGTCACATGTGACATCTGTCCACACTTCTTTAAAGATCAATGATCCATCGTGACACATTTTGTTTTTCTAGTCCCCTATCGTTGGAAATTTGTGTTTGGATGTTATAAACAGTGCTGAAGCAAAGACATGTATATGCGTCTCTTCAAGACCGCAGTGGCATTTTTCAGTGTATTCCCAGGAATGGAATTGTTAGAAAATGTTTCATTTATACTCACTCTTCATTTTTTGAGGAATTAGCATATTTTTTCCCAAAGCGTATTTTTATAACCTGAGAGTTTGTAATTTGAATATTTAAAATTATACATATACATAATTAAATTATATGCATGCATGTATACATTTACATACACATATATAGATACATACACACATTTAAGAGGCAGTTTTCGATGAAGGCCTTATTTTTATCTATGCTCCCAATGCTTCTATTCTATGAATTCAATTTTATAAGTAAAAAATAATTATTTTCAAAACTTACTTCTCTAACATATTTGTCTGATTTTCAAATATTCTCATCATCATCTTCATCCGTGTAGTCACTGAATAAGGAGCTTCTATTACAAAAAAAAAACCCATAAAGGTGTTATAGTGGCTGAAGTTATACAATCATCCAATTCAGTGATACAGATGAGAAACTAAACCAGCATAAAAAGGTGACATGATACTTACAGATGCACTTACCTTATTTTATCCTATACATCATCTCTGTCTTCCAACTGGAAATAGTTACATTACAAGGCATACTCAGAGGAAAAAAAAAACCCACAACCTGAAGATAAGCAATTATGAGCACAGAATTCAGATACAGCAGGCATTTTTTTATGGCTTATTTAACTTTATTTTATGTGCATTGGTGTGAAGGTGTCAGATCCCCTACAACTGGATCTTCAGACAGTTGTGAGCTGCCATGTGGGTGCTGGGAATTGAACCCGGGTTCTCTGGAAGAGCAGTCAGTGCTCTTAACCACTGAGCCACCTCTCCAGCCCCTACAGCAGGCATTTTTAAGTTATCGGACAAGAACTTCAAACAACTAATTAACAGTATTTATTACCTAGGGAAAAATTGGCAACATACAAGAGCAGATGGCAGTGCAAGCAGAAACTCTAGTAACGCAGGACCCTCACTGCTACTCTCCTTGGAGCACCTGCATTGTGCCAATCACACTAGTGTTGTTGAGGGGTTTCCCTCTCTATGCTGTGAATATGTTTCATTACCAGTGATTAATAAAGCAGCTGCTTTGGCCTATGGCAGGGCAGAATACAGCAAGGTGGGAAATTCAATCAGAGATAGAGGAGAAAGGAAGGCAGAGTCAAAGAGATACCATGTAGCTGCCAAAGGAGAAAGACACCAGAAACTTACTGGTAAGCCACAGCCTCGCGGTGCTACATAGACTAATAGAAACGGGTTAAGTTACGATGTAAGAGCTAGCTAGGGGGCTGAAGAGATGGCTCAGCAGTTAAGAGCACTGACTGTTCTTCCAGAGGACCTGAGTTCGATTCCCAGTAACCACATGGTGGCTCACAACCATCTGTAATGAGATCTGGTGCCCTCTTCTGGCCTGCAGGCATACATGAAGGCAGAATGTTGTATACATAATAAATAAATAAATCTTTTTTTTAAAAAAAGCTAGCTAGGAATATGTCTGAGCCGTTGGCCAAACAGTATTATAATTAATATAGTTTTTGTGTGATTATTCGGGTCTGGGTGGCCGGAAAACAGAACAGTCTCCACTTACAATGTGCTGTAATCTGTGAGGGCTTCTTTAATCATGATAATAAGCAAGTAATATTCTATTGTTGTCTAATAAATATGCATACTCTGTATGGCTACTAACACGAAAAAATGTGATTAAATACTTGGAATACTTTGGAAAACAATCTTCATATTTTTAGATAATTATTAAGGGTATTTTACAAACCACTAGAGCAACTCTCTTGAAAAGTCAGTGAGAACAGACTGTGACTTCACAGAAAGGACCAAGAGGTGAGTGACCAGCCCCTCAGTAGGATCAGTCTCTAGGCCCTAGGCCCCTCCCCCATTAGCACTAGCTGACCAGCAGCAAGCCTCCTACAGGCAGGCTGCTCCAACACATGCCCAATGGGTGGACCCTGTAATCCACCGACTGTACCCATTCCCTGTGCCTCAGTGCCTCACTAAGACGCAGACTTAGACTGGAACGGCACAGACCTGATGAAGAGGTGAGTGACCAGCTCTCCAGCTGTACAACCCAGTCTCTAGGCCCTAGAACCCCGGGCAAAACCCTGGGCCCCTCCCCCACGCGCCTCAGCTGTACTAGCTGGTTAGCAGGCAAGCCCCCTGTAGGCTGGCTGCTCCACAACCCCTCACCGGATCTGTAATCTTTAAGTCCCACACTCCCCCACCATCTCCCACGAACTCAACAGCTCACTGGAGACGCAGATTGTGACTGCCACAGAGCTGACCAAAAGACTAGCCCTCCCACCTTGACAGCCCAGTCTATAGGCTCTAGGCCCCAGGGCAAACCCACAGGCTCCTCCCCCACCCACCACAGCTTCAGTGGCTGAGTCGGCAGGCAAGCTTCCACCACTCCTCACCTGCTGCTTCCTGTAATCTTCTGGTCCTACTCCACCACCAAACCCACCCAGCCCCTGGAAATCGACTCACTGAGACACAGACAGATACTGCAATGATCGGTCCAAGAGAGGATCCCTGAGACACAGACACCAACTGCGAGGATGGGACCAAGTGGCAAAGACACTGCTTGTATCAAGTGGAGGAGGAGATGAGTAGGTGCCAATGCAATAACACATTTAACAAACTAAATTTAACAAACTAAAGAGCAATATGGCAACACCAGAATCTAGTGGCCCTACAACAGGAAGACCTGAACATCCTAACCCAGAACAAGCTGGAGGAAATGACTTTAAATATAACTTTAGGAAGATGATAGAGACCCTAAAGAGGAAATAAAAAACTCCCTTAAAGAAATGGAGAAAAAGCCAAACAAACAAAAAACAAAAAATGGAAGAAATCAATAAATCTCTTAAAGAAAGCCAAGAAAACAATCAAACAGGTGAAGCAAATGATTCAAACAGTTCAAGGCTTGAAAATTAAAATAAAGGCAATAAAGAAAACACAAACAGAAGGAATTCCAGAAATGAAAAAGTTAGGTAAATAGACAGGAACTACAGAGGTAAGCATAACCAACAGAACGCAAGAGATGGAAGAGAGAATCTCGGGAGTTAAAGATACAATAGAGGAAACAGATTCATCTGTTAAAGAAAATGTAAATACAACAAGTTCTTAATACAAAGCATTCAGGAAACCTGGGACAATCTGGAAAGACAAACCTAAGGATAATAGGGTAGAAGGAGAAGAACTCCAGCACAAACGCACTGAAAATATATCAACAAAATCATACAAGAAAACTTGCCCAACCTGCAGAAGGTTATGCCTACGAAGGTAAAAGAAGCTTACAGAACACCAAATAGACTGACCAAAAAAAAAAAGTCCCTTTGTTACATATTAATCAAAACACTAAACACACAGAACAAAGAAAGAATATTAATAGCTGCAAAGGAAAAAGACCAAGTAACATATAAAGACAGACCTATCAGAATTATACCCAGCTTCTTAATGGAAAGCTATTGAAAAGCCAGAAAGTTCTGAACAGATGTGCTGCAGACATGCGAGATCATAGATGCAAGCCCGGACTACTATACCAAGCATAACTTTCAATCAGCATAATGGAGAAAGCAAGATATTCCATGACAAAAGCAGATTTAAACAATACCTATCCACAAATCCAGCCTTACAGAAAGTACTCGAAGGAAAACTCTATCCCAAAGGGAGCTAATGTGCTCAAAAAATACAGGCAACAGATACCCTCACACCAGCAAATCTCAGAGAAGGGAAACACACAAACACTACTACTGAAAATTATAGGATCATTAATATCTCTTAATATCAATGGACTCAATTCACCTATAAAAAAGCATAGGCTAACAGAATTAATATGAAAATAGGATCCATCCTTCTGCTGCATACAAGAAATATACCTCAACCTTAAAGACAGACATTAGCTCAGAGTAAAGTGGTGGAAATTTTTCCAATCAAATGGACCTAAGAAACAAGCAGATATACCTATCCTAATATCTAACAAAATCAACTTCAAACTAAAATTAATCAAAAGATATGGAGAAGGACACTTCATACTCATACCAGGAAAAGCCCATCAAGATGAAGACAAAGACTCAATTCTTTACATCAATGCCCCAAGTACAAGAGCACACACATTTGTAAGAGAAACATTACTAAAGCTTAAATCACACATCAAACCCCACACACTAATAGTAGGAGACTTCAACACTCCACTCTTGACAATGAACAGGTCTACCAGAAAGAAACTTAACAGAGAAGTAAGAGAACTAACAGATGTCATGACTCAAACAGACTTAACAGACATCTATAGAACATTTTAACCAAACACAAAAGAATATACCTTCTTCTCTGCACCTCATGGAACCTTCTCTGAAATTGACCACATACTCAATAACAAAGCAAACTTCAACAGACACAGAAAGAATTGGAATAACCCCCTGTGTCTTACTGAGTCATCAAGGCTTGACGTTAGAATTCAACAACAACACAAATTGCAGGAAGCCTACAAACTCAGGAAAATTGAACAATGCTCAAATGACTCACCCCTGAGTCAAGGAAGAAATAAGAAAGAAATTAAAGACTTCCTAGAATTCAACACAAATGAATACACAACATCTCCAAACCCATGGGACACTGTGAAAGCAGTGCTAAGGGGAAAGTTCATAGCACAAAGTGCCTGCGTTAAAAAAATGGAGAAAAATCTCACTAGCGACTTAACAGCACACCTAAAAGCTCTCGAACAAAAAGTAGCAGACTCATCCAGGAGGAGTAGATGAAGGGAAATAATCAAATTGAGGGCTGAAATCAATAAAATAGAAACAAAGAAAACAAACAAAGGATCAACAAAACAAAGAGCTGGTTCCTTGAAAAAAAAACTAATAAGGTAGACAAACCCTTATCCAAACTAACCAAAAGGTAGAAATAGAATATCCAAATTTAAAAAATCATAAATGAAAAGGGGGACATAACAACAGAAACTGAGGAAATCCAGGGAATCATTAGGTCATATATCAAAATATGCACCCAAACATACAATAACATTCAAACTTCAGAACTATCAGAGACGAAGAGAAAAAAACCTAAAGAACCAAAGGGACCAAAATGACCTTCTAGAGAGGAAAAAGATGAAAAGCATACCAGACTGCCCTCCCTCCCATAGAAGCAGCGAGGAAAACCATCTCTGCATGTCACAAGTCCCAGGATCCCAGAACTTCACGGTGTCCACACAGTACTGCAACCCAGTCCTCAATGCTAGTCTGTATGCCCATGACTCGAGCATAAAGCCACTACCAGAGCAAGTGCAGCTTCTGCTGAGTGTGTGCTTCTGGGCCAGTCGTCACCAGAGCTGCAGGTGCGACAGGAACATCTCCAATGTGACTGCTGAGGAAGCAGCATCCAGACCTCATGGTCACTGCTAGGCCATGCCCACCTGTGGTTCAGAACTCAAACTCATACGCATTTCATAGGCAACAAGACTCAGTGCTGGCGCTACCATCATTAAGATCAGCTATATTGGCTGCCATCAGTTATTCCCCTGAAACAGATTTCCTTAGGTGAAATACACACACATGCACATGTGTGCGTGTGCACACATAAGCACACACACACACACACACACACACACACACACACACTCACACATGAGAATCCTAAACAGTCCTTAATGCTAAAAATCTCGACAGGTCCCCGTGAAAGTACTTGTGTATAGTATATGAAGACTCCTACACTGGTCACTAATGCACAGACAACAGAAAGAGCTTCAAGGATTCTGAGCTGCTGTTTGAGGCCAATCTTGGATACACGAGACCCTTCCTTAAACAAACAAACAAGCAAACAAACAAACAAAACCTGATGAAATCTTGAAAGCAGCAAGAATACAGAGGTTTCTTACTATGATAGTATGAATGAGAATGCCCCCCACAGGCTTATGTACAAGACCACTTGGTCCCCAGTGGGTGAGGGTAAATGGGAAGGCTGTGCAGTCTTTAGGAGGTGTCAGCATGATGGAACGCAGAAGAATGGCCACTTACCTGGCTCAGTTTCAGAAGCAACTTGAGATTCATAAACTGAGTGAGTTTTTATGAATTCTGAAAGAGATATATGTATCTGCCATTATACATTTCATATATTCATCCTATGCATTCATTGGGTTGACAGTCTACATTTTTAATTTTAATGATTTGCCCAAGGGGAAGACGGAACAACTCCATGGGAACAACAGCCAAATCATAATAGCATTCATCTTCTAAGAATATTTATTTTTACTGTATGTGCTTGAGTGTTTTGCCTGATAATGTGTATCTGTATCTTATGTGTACAATGCGTGCAGACGCCAGAAGAGGCAAACAAATTCCCTGGAACTGGAGTTACAGAAAGGTGTGAGCTACCACGTGGGTATAGCAATCAAACTTGGTTCTTCTGCAAGAGCAGCCAGTGTTCTTAACTGCTGAGCCATCTTGGCATTAATCTTTTACATTTCCAAAATCCAAACTGTAAGAAAAGTTGCAGTGAAATAGAAAACTCCTACTGAACAGTGTATTCAGTTTGCCACTGTGTAATTTTTTAATTGCAAAAATTGAGCTTTAAGTATCAAAGTGCTAATATAGTTAGGAAACTGAATAAACATTTATAAATATTACCTTCGATTTGGTTCTCTATAGCTTCGTAACTTTTTGCTGAACCTGGGAGAGTGTCTTTTTCCCTGCCAAGAGTGCCAATAAATAAAACTTGTCATACACATTAAGAGTTGTTACACTGCCCAAGGAACTATATTTTACAGATTAGACATATGGTGCCAAGCTAACCTATCATTTGTCCTTCATTCATAGTTACTAAGATAAATAAATTATAAAACCATCCTACGCTATAATGGCCAAATTCTGTGAATTGTGCATTCCAGAATGTAGTTATATACACCAGTAACATTTAGAACTAAAATAACAAAACCCAGTCTGTAGAAACTGGAGCTCTCTTTTTGCTAATTCTCACTTGGTGCCATGCTCAGAGCACACGGCTGAGAGTGAGACAGTCTTCTCCAAACCTCTATGTGGCCTGGAGCCAGTTACTCTGCCTCTCTCCTTAGATTCTTTATTTGTTCAAACTTATATACGCTATTTCCTGTCTCATAAAGTAGTTATGACGCTTCCAGGAGAAACTAGAAAAACACCTTGTGCACAGAAGACATTTAAAGGTCAAACATAAACACATTCAGAAAGCATTCCTGACAGCAAACAGCTGAGAAATGTACAGAAGCCTCCTTACCATACCAGTGTAATAACAGTTCACAGAAAGCACATGGAGAGACTGCATATGGAGTATTGTTCTCTTCCGACTGTGAGTAGTTTTTCTTTTAGCAATATGAAACTGCTTTGTATATACTTGAAAACCAATGGGGGAAAGTACAATTCTAAACCTGGTTTTATAATTTTTTTAAAAAAACGTTGGGTTTGCTACTAGGACTTACTCGATCAAATTCAGACGTGTGAGACCCAGAAACACAATGTTCGGGCTCACCTGTAATTTCTGACTCCAAATACTCAGATGTGAGCATATGACATGAAGTCCTGACTAAGACTAGGAAAGTACAAAGGGACTATAGGCATGGGGGAGGCATATGAGAAGGGAGAGCAGCGTATGGGTGATATGAAATGGGAAATAAAAAAAGCATGGAGGATTTCAACTAGAGAGGAGGGGTGGGAGGTCAATACAGAAAGATAAAGACAGAGGAAGAACAAATAACACCAAGATTGCTGGATAAAGCCTCAAGAAACCCTATTGCTTTATATTTACTTAAATTATACACAATACATATTAGTGTCTATCTATCTACCTATGTATCTCATAGATACATATGCCTATCTACATCTATAGATACATATATCTGTCTATCTGTCGGTATGTATGTCTATTTACATGTCATCTATCTATCTATCTATCTATCTACCTATCTATCTACCTACCTCTATCTATCTATCTATCTATCTATCTATCTATCTATCTATCTATCTATCTACCTACCTACCTCTATCTGTCTGTCTGTCTGTCTATCTATCTAGCTATCTTCTTACCTACCTACCAATCTACGTAACACCAAGGAAGTTACACCAATTGGATGACAATGATCCCCACCAAACACCAGAACTAACAGAGACACCAGTACCAGGAGTGAGAAACTGTCTATTGAATGGTTGGTCGGGGTATCTGGGGTGGTCCCTAAAACAATACAGACTATCTATAGACCTTGGTTGCTTCTTGGGAGTTGAGGGTAGAACCCTGAAGAAACTGTATACTTTGGACACGCAGTCAGATGACTTGAGCTGTATCTGACCTGATGGCTTTCTTCCTGCAGTCTAGTTTCTACAGTGCCAAAATATACTTTGCAAGCTGCCAAACAAGGGAAGCAATTAAACAGTCCTGCCCAGTTGACCTGTGAGGATGAACAATGTAGCAAGATCTCCGTAAGGTGCCATAGGGGCCTTCCCATGTTGTTGGTAATCATCCGCTGTCTAACTTGACATAAGGCCCACTCAACAGGAAGGAAATCATGTCTAGTACTGGAAACATAGCTAGTGAGATCATGTACCTCAAAAAATAATCTACCATCGCCAGTTCGCTAAGCCTGAACAATGCCTAACTATACTCTAAGTCTTATCCTTAATTTCATAGTTAAGCGTAACTACGCTTCTCATCAAAGAGGCCTCTCTTTATAGCAAATGCAGGCCTTCTTAGAAATTCTCAAGTGGACAGAATGCATAGGCCAACAAAGCACAGGGAACCTAGCCCCAACAGATATTTCTATATCATAGCACCTGCATCATTTTTCAGAGAACATTTCAGAAAAGGGAATGGAAAGATTGTAAGAGCCAAAAGACCAGGAAGTCTAGTGTGAAACAGTCTCTCCTAGAAATGCCTGTGCAAACAAGACTAGAGAACACTGGCAGTGTTGGTGAACATGCAAGTGTGGAAGGTGAAAGTTTTTGCAGGGTCCCACCCCTAGACAAAGAATTACAGTTATTGACTGCTGGGAAAGGAATAATCCTGTCTCAGAGATGATCCCTCTTTATGGGCTGTCCAATGCAAAATAATCAGCCCTGAAACTATCAAACACAAGCAACAAACTCAGCAGGTTGTAATTATGTATTTGTGCATACCTATAATGCATATATACATAGGTGTATGCAATGATAATAAACAAAGGGGGTTATCAATTTGAGGGAGCATGGAAGGGCACCTGGGAAGGACTAGAGGGAGGAAAGGGAGTATGATGTGATTCTGTTTCAACTAGAATATATTTTTAAAGTATTCAGAAACATGTTTACAATCCAGATGTCTTAAAGAGACTATTACCCAGTACAAGTTGTAAATAATAACTATACATGGCTGTTGAGTAGTTAAAATATGTTTTGTATGATCCAGAAGCCAATTTGTCTTACTAAATCAAATTTGAATAGCCACACGTGACTAATGTCCAGTGCACTGAATAACACCATCTCAGACTATTAAAATTTCAAATCAGATGCCGGGCGGTGGTGGCACATGCCTTTAATCCCAGCACTTGGGAGACAGAGGCAGGTGGATCTCTATGAGTTCGAAGCCAGCCTGGTCTACAAGATCTAGTTCCAGGACAGGCACCAAAATTGCACAGAGAAACCCTGTCTCAAAAACAAAAACAAAACAAAATAAAACCCTTCAGAATCAGAAAATGTAACTAAACATTCATATATCATTTAGAAGTTTTTTTTAATAGCAGGAACATTGAGTTGGTTTACATCCAATGCTAATTACTGACTTTATCAATTAATCCTTATATTTCACTTACATTTGTTTAAACATCAAGGATCCCTTACGCCCTCTCAAACGAGTTTTCAGATCTTCAACTCTATGTAACAGATTTGCTATTTGTGCGATGTTTAATTTGAGCGTTTTATCATCTGTTGGGAAATCTCCTTCTAAAATGCTTTGGTCTTTACCTATCTGAAGTAACAAAATTGGCCAGTTACTAAAGACCCGCTTGATCGCATACTTCCAAAGCATTTCGTTATTTCCTTCATCAACCTGAATAACTTGCATTTAATCTAATGGTTGGTCATATCCAAACACTGGTATAGTAGCTACAAATGCAAAGAAGGGCCCTTCACCATCAGTAGAGCTACAGCTCACTCAGGATACTTATATGGCAAAGTTGATGTTTACTATTCACATATATATACATATATATATGTGAAAATCCAATAACAATGCAACTCAAGAATATTTAAAAGAACAATTTAAAAGAATATTTAAAAGTCACCTATTTTTTCTAAGAATATTCTGCTGTAATAAATTATAGAAAGACAATGATAAAGTCATGACCCTCTACTGCCAAATCCCAGATGTCACTGTGCTTTCATTTTGCATGGGGAACCATATAGAAACCTTTGGATGTCTCAAGCTTGAGGGAATAAAAACAAAGAGACGTTTCTGAGTGATGCTGACGTTTTCTGTCTTCAGCCTTTAATTTTATAAACCAAATAACCAGCCCCCCTCTCTTTAAAAGAGTGTTGAGCTAGAGAGGATGATAAGCATAGCAAATGGGTGCAGAAAAATTCTGAACAACCTCTGAAGCTACCTGGGAAGTAATTCTTTCAGGCTAGGGGAATACACATAATCTCTTCCAAAAGAGAATTAAAAGCACTTGAAGAGGACCAGTTGTTCTCAATCTAGTGGTTAAAGTATTTGAAAATCTAAAATGCAAAGGATATCATTTTAAATCATTTAAAAAGTCAACGTGTATATTATGCATAATTTTTAAGCAGAGGAGAGATTTTAAGTTGATAAATTCATATAACTTTTATGTAAACCAAAAAGGAAAAGTGAGTGAAATTTTCGTTGCTCTTTAGGAGAAAGAATGATCCAATAAATACTGTTCTGTCCTGAACTCATGTAGAAAAGACATATGCAAATTACTGATAAATATTTTTACTAGCAATTATTTTTCAACATAAATTAAAATATTACTTTAGAATCAATGGTTATTGAAACATTTGATTTATACATTACTTTAGACAGATTTTCAAATGGGTCAAATACTTGCTAATGTAACCAATAGTTAAGAAGTTTTATATATTACCTCCTCCATTTGGTTGACTTGTTGCTGAAACCACTTCATAAAAAAGGAATAAAAAAGAGAGAGTTAATACATGTGTCTATGAGTCTGAATCTGCCAAGCACCATTGCTGACTCACACACACACATCTCACAGGGTTCAGAATGGGGCTAGTGCAACATACAAATGCAAATAGAAACTTAAAAATATCTCGTAGCAACCATGGAAGCCTGCAACTGCAAAACCTAGATCATCTTTGCTTCCTATGCATTCTTTGTGGTTTAAGTTGTAATGAATTGAAACACATACCTTGAAAAGAGACTCCAAAATCTGGAAAACAAAGTTTTTGTTAGTATATTTAAAGATAAAGTAAGTATCATGCAACTCTTAAAATTTTGAATTATAAATTTGCTAAAATAACTACAAATCTACAGTTTCAAAGCTATAATAATTTTGTAGATATGGTGTGCAGTCCATTTTGCATGCATAAATACTTCGATTACTCCATAGAATTTTGGAGTCAATTATTCACATCTAATATTTTGTTTGTGAAATAGAGTATTCAGAAGAGAGTCATATCTGTGTTATATGTTCTACAAGGGGTGATTAACTTATCTTAACACAAATGGTTATGGAGAGGTGCAACTTCAGAGGGAAATCACCTTAGGCTATCTTAGCTGCAAACAGTCATTTATTGTCTACCTCAGTGTATGACCTGGTGCTCTCATGACTACTAGACCAATTAGTTTCCGGTGTACAGACAGATCCACAAGTTCCCTCAACTGAATGGCTAGGAATGCATGAACTGGCAACCAAGTCCCACAGCAAGGATTTCCCCACCGTGCCACAACCTGCCTACCTGATGTTCCTAGAAAAGTATTTGAAAAAAAAAATGCTTGATTTATAATTGTCTTTGTTCTCATAATTTATGCCAAGACAGTTTATTTTTTGAGGCAATTATTAATATTGCTTCCCTTTTTTCGCTCTCTGCTTGTCATTTGTCAACAGGAAGGCTTCTGAGTTTTGTGCCTAAATTTTGTGTTCACTTATTTTACTGAATATATTTATGAGTAGAGTTTTTTGTTTGGTGGCATCATTAGGGTCTTTTATATAGAGAATCATATCATCTGCAAATTAGGATATTTTGACTTCCACCCTAGGTGACTGAATCAGGTAATTAGTGGGGCCAGCAATCAGCTGCTGACTTTAAGTGACAACTTTTTGTTGTTGTTGTTGTTTTGAGACAGGGTTTCTCTGTTTAACAGCCCTAGCTGTCCTGGAACTAGCTCTTGTAGACCAGGTTGGCCTCGAACTCACAGAGATCCGCCTGCCTCTGCCTCCCGAGTGCTGGGATTAAAGGTGCATGCCACCACCGCTCAGCATACGACTACTTTTCAGGCTAAGGTCTGAGGTGAACTAAATTGTGATTAATGGAGCTGGAGTGTAAAGCAAGAATACGAAATGCTTCCTGAAGAGAGGATTGCATGCTTGTCTTAATACTGTTAAACTGCTGTGGCAAAACATAACAGCAGAGGCAACTTATAAAAGAAAGCGTTAGCGTCCAGGATGATGAAGCAAAGGCGCTGTGGCAGGAACAGGCTGGAGCTCACACCTTGATCTGAAGTACCAGGCAGAGAAAGCACACTGGGGATGGCCGGAGCTGTTAAAGTTTCAAAGCCACCCCTGTGACACACGTCCTCCAACAAGGCCGTACCTCCCAAACAGTTCCACCAACTGGGGACCAGTTTTTAAAATATGATCTATACAGGCTACTCTCTCTCATCCAAACCCCCACATTCTACCTCACAGCTACCCCAAAGATGTGTGGCCATATCATAATGCAAGATGTACTTAGTCCAACTTCAAAAGGCTCTGTCATTTTTCAGTCTCCACACTGTTTCAAAGTCCAGCATTCAGAATCTATTGTCAGTCTCAAGTCAATCATATAACTGTTAAAATCAAGATGCACATAACATACTTTCAACACATAATGGCACAGAACATACATTACTATTACAAAAAGGAAGGAACCCAGTCACTGCGGAAACGCTGGACCAAAGCAACGAAGCCACATAGCTGGGCCAAGTTCAAATCCTGTAGCTGAGCTCTGAGTTTATGAAGGAAAACACTTAATTGGGTGAGAGTCCATGAGGGCGGGGCCGAAGCATGGCAGTAAGAAGGCTGGGGGCCAAACCACAGAGAGATATTACTAAGAAAGAGAACTACAGGCCAATCTCACTCATGAACACTGATGCAAAAATACTAATAAAATACTGGCAAATCAAATCCAAGAACACATCAGAACCATCATCCACCATGATCAAGTTGGCTTCATCCCAGAGATCCAGCGATGGTTCAACATATGAAAATCTGTTAATATAATACAAACAAACTGAAAAATGAAAACCACATGATTGTCTCATTAGATGCCAAAAAAGCTTTTGGCAAAATACAACATCCCTTCATGATAAAGGTCTTGGAGAGAGAAGGGATACAAAGAACATACCTAAACATAATTAAGGAAATATACAGTAAGCCAACAGCCAACATCAAACTAAATGTTGTTGAGAGAAACTCCCAGCGATTTCACTGAAATCAGAAATAAGACAAGATTGTCCACTCTCTCCTTATCTATTCAATATAGTTCTTGAGGTCTTAGCTAGAGAAATAAGACACAAAAAGGAGATAAAGGGGATAAAAATTGGAAAAGAAGTCAGACTCTCACTATTTGATGGTGATATGATAGTTTACTTATGCAACCCAAAAAATTCTACCAAGGAAATTCTACATCTCATAAGCACTTTCAGCAATGTAGCAGGATACAAGATTAACTCAAAAAAATCAGTAGCTTTTCTTTACACAGATGTTAAAGGGGCTGAGAAAAAAATTACAGAAACACCACCCTTCACAATAGCCACAGATAACAAAACATCTTGGAGTAACTCAAACCAAACAAGTGGAAGACTTGTATGACAAGAACTTTAAATCTTTAAAGAAAGAAATTGAAGAAGACACCAGAAAATGGAAAGATCTCCCATGCTTTTGGGTAGGTAGAATTAACATAGTGAAAATGCAATCTTACCAAGAGTAATCTACAGATTCAATGCAATGCCCAGCAAAATCCCAGCAAAATTCTTCACAGACCTCAAAAGAACAGTCCTCAACTTCATATGGAAAAGCAAAAAACCCAGGTAGAAGAACTTCTGGAGGCATCACAATCCCTGACTTCAAACTCTACTACAGAGCTACAGTCCTGAAAACAGCCTGGTATTGGCATAAGAACAGACAGGAGGACCAATGGAACTGAATCAAAGACCCGGATATTAATCCACATATCTATGAGCACCTGATTTTTGACAAAGAAGCAAAAAATATCAAATGGAAAAAAAAGCATATTTACCAAATGATGTTGACATAGCTATATCAACATGTAGAAGAAGGAAAATAGATCCATATCTATCACGAAGCAAAAAACTCAAGTTCAAATGAATCAAAGACCTCAACATAAAGCCAGCCACACTGAATCTTATAGAAGAGAAAGTAGGAAGTACACTTGAATGATTGGCACAGGAGACCACTTCCTAAGTAAAACCCCAGTAGCATAGACACTGAGAGAAACAATTAATAAATGGGACCTCCTGAAACTGAAAAGCTTCTGTAAAGCAAAGGATACGGTGAACAAGACAAAACGACAGCCTATAGAATGGGAAAAGATCTTCACCAATCCCACATCAGACAGATGTCTGATCTCTAAAATATACAAAGAACTCAGGAAATTGGTCATCAAAATAACACACAATCTAATAAAAAAAAAATGGATTATAGGCCTAAACAGAGAAGTCTCAACAAAGGAATCTAAAATAGCTGAAAGACACTTAAGGAAATGCTCAAAATCCTTAGTTATCAGAGAAATGCAAATCAAAACAACTCTGAGATTCCATCTTACACCTGTAAGAATGGACAAAATCAAAAACACTGATGACAACTTATGCTGGAGAGGTTGTGGGAAAAAGGGAACACTTCTGCATTGCTGGTGGGAGTGCAAATTGGTGCAGCCCCTTTGGATGTCAGTGTGGCGATTTCTCAGAAAATTAGGAAACAACCTTCCTCAAGACCCATCAATACCACTTTTAGGTATATACCCAAAGGATGCTCAATCGTACCACAGCAACGTGTGCTCAACTATATAATAGCAGCATTGTTTGTCATAGCCAGAACCTCCAAACAGCCTAAATGCCCCTCTACTGAAGAATGGATAAGGAAAATGTGTAAATGGATAACATTTACACAATGGAGTACTACACAGCAGAAATAAATAACAGCATCTTGAAATTTGCTGGCAAATGGATGGAACTAGAAACATCATATTAAGTGAGGTAACCCAGACCCAAAAAGACAATGATCACACGTACTCACTCATAAGTGGTTTTTAAACATAAAACAAAGTAAACCAGCCTACAAATAATAATCCCAGAGAACCTAGACAACATTGAGGACCCTAAGAGAGACATACATGGATCTAATCTACATGGGAAGTAGAAATAGACAAGATCTCTGGAATAACTTGGGAGCCTGGGGACCGTGGTAGAGGGTTGAAGGGGAGGGAAGAGGTAATGAGGGGAGCAGAGAAAAAATGTAGAACTCAACAAAATCAATAAAAAAAAAAGAAAGCTGGGGGCTCATGTATTGACCCAAAGGCAGGAGGCAGAGAGAGCACACTGGACATGGTGGGGCCTTTTGAAGCCTCAAAGTTTACCCCATGACACACTTTCTCCAACAAGGCTACACAACTTCCCAAACAGTTCCACTGACTGGGAACCAAGTATTCAACCACGGTCTATATGGGCAATTTTCATTCAAAGCACCACAATGTTTAAAGTTGAATTTTCAAAAATGGCCTTCAGAAGGTCATGATTTAGGTAAGCACAGTGACTGTAAACACTGTGTGTTTCAACAGCAATGCTTGCAGAGCCAGACAGATACAGGGCCCCACCTGAAGAAAATGTGCCGTCAATAGAGGGGTTTAATACAAATGTTGGCTTTAAGACAATCAACATTTCATTCTTGTCTAGTAATGAGACATGGTCCAGTCACGTTCCTTGGCTTCTACAAACTACTGAAAGAATACAGTGTGGGATTTTTTTTTGATACATTTATGAGCTATTTGTGTTTTTTCATCTTTGAAATACCTTTGTATGTCAGTGACCTATCTTTCACTTTTTGGTCCAGATTCATAATAATCATGATAGTCACTTGTCACTTGGACATGATCCAAATGTTTTGCTTATATGACTTTTTCCTGTCCTTTTCATAAGGAATTATGAACAGACAGATGGAGAGGGAGGAAAGGGAAGATGGAGAAACAGCAAAGACAAATGATGTCAGTTACACATTACAAATCAGTTACAAATCATTACAAATTGGACATACGTATATAGTATAGTAAGGATTATAAAGTACACAATATTATATATTATTAACTATATAATGTATATAGAACAGAAACCAAATATTGACCCTCACCTATAAATACTGAATCTATTTCTCAGGTAACACAAGAAAACATCATAAAATAATCAGCTTTAGCCTGCCCCAGTGTCTTGCAAAGGTAATCATGATCATGGTGTGTTCTGAAACTCACAGTGTATTGGCAAATGAGAAAAACATGATTTTATTTAAGATTTAAAAAAAAAATTTTATTTTCAGTAGGTGTTTTGTCTGAAAGTTCATCCATATAAATTACATGTGTGCCTTGTACCCCCAGAGGCCAGAACCCATGGGTGTTGGGTCTCCTGGAACTAGAGTTACACAGGGTTGTGAGCCACCAGGTAGTACTAGGAACCAAACATAGGTATTCGCAAGAGCAACAAGTGTTCTTCACCACTGAGATGTCTATCTAGCCACATATTATTTTATTTTTGAAATATAATGTATATATGAAATAATGATAATATATAAGGAGAAATGATAATATATAAAGAAAATCAGGGAGTCAGGCAAAGCTATGCTAACAGTATTTTTTTTTTCATAGTATTCTTTTCATACTGGGAAAGAATCCCCATGGTGATACTTGGCTTTTGTTTTTTTTAAACCTGTCTTTGGTTTGAAATTAACAATAATTAGAAAAAGATTTTGATAATGCAAACTTTATAAAAATGAGAATTAAAATATAGAGATCACATTTAAAAGCACATATGACCTTATTACTACTTTACTTAAAGAAAAATCCACAAATATACGTCCTACATTGAGAATAAAGAAATATAAAAAAGATTCTCTAATGACCCTTGTCATCCTCCAAAGGATTGATTCCAGACTAATATGGCTGATTGCAAATCGCATCACAGTTTCGATGACCAAAGCAAGTTCTCAGAGTTGACACTGGACACTGACTCGGAATACATACGTTACGTTCTTCCTTAACTGCTTCCTCCATCTGAGCTGCAAACTGTGAACAGCACAGCAAGAACGCATTCATATCAGCACCAAGCTTCCAAAAAGAACCACAAAACAGAGTTACTGTCAGTTTTAGAAACCACTTGTATACCCACTTGCTTCTTAATGTATCTTGAAAGTATTTTAATTTTCTGCAATTTCCATCCCTTCAAACATGGGTGGCAAAAAACTATGTTTCAAATGTTATCCCAGAAAACCCTCCTTGAAATGAAACATGGAAGAAAGTACATCCTAAGGAATGATGAAACACAACATGCTTTTGTTTTTCTGTTGGCTTAAGAGCTGCACCTGAATCTACTGATATTTTAACTACCATCTGAGGGCAGCAGCCCCCATCCACATCCCCACTCACAGCAGTCAATACTGCCTGCTTAGATTGTGGTCTCGTGGGATTTCTGGTCCCATTGGCACCAGCTAGCACCTGCTAGGCTGCAGTTGTGGCTGCCAAACGTAGGTTTTAACTTAGTCTTTATTGTACTATTTACCAATAAAGACCTGGGAGTCAGATGTTGGGGTGAAAACCTGCTAGATCAGAGAAGCCAAGAACCAACCAGCTGACTTTCCTCTTTAGGTGGAGACCCAGCAAGAGAAGTGTCTCTCCATTCATTCTGATCAAAAAGATTGTGAATCTTTAAGGCCCTCCCTACTCCTTCCTGTGCCCCCCCCCTTTTTCCTGGGTCCTCTGTACTTTCGATGGCTAATTCTTGTCAACTAGTCACTGGATCCACCTTCTGGTCCAAGGTTAATTTCATTAACATAGTTTCACAATGCGATCAAATATTCCACAACAACATCAAGGAAGCTTTTTTTTTTTTTTTGTAGCCAATGGGAGACCACCATAGAAACTCACAACTGTCCAGAATACAAAAACAATTGACCATTGGGTGCTCATCCCCAGTAAATACATCCACAGCACAGCCCACATGGAATAACAATAGGTAAGTAACAGTTTAAAAATGTAGGTGCAAATGTATGGTTGAGTCGAACAAATGTGACTGGCAAGATGGCTCCGCAGTTAAGAGTTCCTGATGCTCTTGAAAAAGAGCAGAATTCAGTTCTCAGGAACTACAACATTGGGTGGCTCACAGAGCCCTGTCACTTTTCTCGACTCCAGACTCCACTGCATGTGCTCATTCACATATACAGATAGGCACATGTGCACATAAATACAATTTAAAAGAGACCTTAAAACATTAAAACAAGCAAAAAGTGAAACCTAAACAAAGCAAAAACAGTCCACTAAATGAGAACCATGCTGTTATGCTCATAGCTACATTATAACAATATGTACAACAAAGACATTTGCTAGGTCCAAAAAACTTTGGTATTTTTCTTTCCACTTTAAAATCTAGCAAAGAAGGTATTTTTAATTACATTTTATTATTTATCTGTGTGGGGAGGGGCTCGGGAGTGACTCATGTTTGCCTGCAACAGTAAACATGTGGAGGCCAGAGTACAACCTGCAAGAGTTGGCCCTCTCCCTACGCCATATAGGTCTCAAGGATTGAACTCAAGTTTGTCAGGCTCTTTGGTAGGCTCCTTTAGCCACCGCCCATTGCTGGTGCAAGAACACTGTCTTATATTCAACTCAAACAAAGTAACCAAGCTCATATTCAAAACTCAGCACAGAGGCAAGATCGGAAAAAAGCGGACTACAGATAGTTAAGACAGGAGTTGGCAGAGGCTGGAAACACTAGCACATGTCTATCAAGTGTCGTAAGAGGATCTCTGTATGGATAGGGGTCCACTCGGACGGCGTGTGTTTATTCCAAAGGCAACGGTTAACCCTTCCAACGCTGAATTTATTTCCTTAGCTTATGTAACACATACAGATAAAGATACCCCTTCATCCTTGGGTTTCGTCAGTATTTGCTCTCCATCTTCGTCGACAGTTCCATATGTATCTTCCAAAGCACTAACAACCTTAGAGAAATACAAATCAAGTTGAAATCGTTATTGTCAAAAATGCTAAAGCCATCACACCACGATTGTATAGATGTCACTTGATTGCCGGTGGCAGGAGGTTCCACTTTCTACCCTCTGACTACCCTTTGACGTATCATTAAGAAGATGCCTGCTCAACAGTGCTTAATCCTGCTCCCTAGCCATGGGGACATCCCAAAACTCATCCTTCTCTATGTGAAAAAGAAGTGAAAAGTTATTCACATGCCTGGGAATATCTGAAGAAAGCAGAGGTTTCCTCAAAGTCTGATTTTCCTTTGAATATTGCATTTAAAGAAAAAGAAGTATAACGAGCAGAAAGCAATAAACTTTAAAAGACATTCTCCAAGATGACACACTGACCAGGTATCTGGGAAGCATGATGAACTCTAATTTTTACATTGGAGTCTTTCTTGTTCGCATTTAAAAGAGGATTTACAGTTTGACTGACAATCATTTTGTAAAAAGAAACTTAGAGAAACATTAAGTCCTATGATTTCTGAGGTGCAGACAAGAATGACTGCAGTTGGCATGAGATCTCAAAAATGCCTATACCGACAAAGCCCTGCTTGTGAAGAGAGGGTTACCTGGTTAGCTAGGAATTTTGATTTTAGGAAGACAGTGTGTTCTATGCTGAGCTGCTTTCCTTGGAATTCTAATACATGCTTGACAGAGAATACTTTAGGTTCTCAACCCTCTGCATACTGTGTTTCTAATGATATCTTCTGGTCCCCATTCTACTTAACTCATCATGATTCATTTCCGAAGGAACTAAGCATGCGTCACATGACTTCAGACAGAGAACACTCATAGCCTTGGCCCTGTTTTATTTCTAATCTCCCTCCATATGCTGAATGTAATAAATCTTATCATTGATATAATGATATACAGAGTTCATCATAATTGATTCTATCCTTATATAATAGCAAACCCTCCCAGCTAGTGACCATCTTGGGGGTTACCTCAATAGGACACACAACAAATATCTTACCATCTTCAGGTGTTTGGTAATCTTCCTGACCATTTCATCTTCTGCTATTAAATCCTTTGTCTTACTTGATGGTATTGGCAAGGCATAACGTACAATTGATTCTCCTGTGGGTGGCGACCGTAGGACCATTGGTTCGATCTTCTCATATTGTGACTTGGCATTACGTTTTTCTTTTGGCTTAGGTGTTGAGTTGAGAAGTCCTTTTTTATAAGGTAATTCTGGAACACTTGTCAATTTTTTATTAATGGTTGATAGGGGCTGTGCCCGTTTCATCTTTATGGCTGGTTTAGTTTCCAAATTACATGTGCAAAATTCAGTACCTCCCTGTGAACAAAACATTAAGAGATTTAAAGAAAAAAATCCTACTCTGTTCACTTAATTAACCACTGAGTGAGAAGTATACATGTGCATACATGGATCCACATGCATACTCTCCTTGTATTTCCCAAGAAATACATAGATTAGATATTAAGACCTTTGACAGTTTCTTAATCATCAACTATCAGACAAAGTAGCTAGTCCACCCTGAATGCATATACGCTAACAAGATAAGACAATTTGACGTAAGAAAAACACAAATCACCAGAAAAGTACAACCACAGGCAGAAAAATGCATCATGCATGAAGATGATCGAGAAACGCTTAAGACAGAGAAAGACGACAGGCACTGGAAGCAGGGGTAAGTGGTGTTTTACAAGACCCAGATGGAAATAGTACAAGCGAAAATGGAAACGCATAGCTGACCACACCACTGCAGAACAGGTTTGCAGGGTGGATGATCAGACAGGGGTGACAGGACAGAGAGCAGCAGAGAGAAAACAGAGAGACAAAGATGTGTTGAATTTTTCAAATGCTGATAGACAGATAAGGGAAAGATAAAGCATAGACGAAGAAATACTCCAACAAATAATAAAGACGAATTTCTCAGACCTAAAGAGGACCCGAAGGGACAGATTGAAATATTCTCAGAACGCTCATAGGAAACAAACAAAAACACAAAACACATCAGAAAAAAAGGTAAACACCTAAAAGGGAAAAGTAAACTTTCAGAGAGAACAAGAAACCTAAAAAGGAGGGAAAAACTGAATGATACCATTTAATATTTCTCCTCACAAGATTATATATTTCATCAAAATTTCAAACTCATTAAGGATTAAAAAAACACACAGTTCAAAGAATCAACCAGCAAAGGAATGAGCTGGGGCTGAAGCTATGGCCTGGGGCTAGAGTCCAAATCCCTTGCCACCACCAGCTCAGTCAGAGCAAGTGGTGAAAAAAAGATGACCAAGTGGTCTGCGTGGGTCACTGAGCAGTTTCTCATGGCCAGCAGTGTGGTAGTCACTCCTTATCATCAGGAGTTCAGGCCTGCCTAGCGAGGCTAGACAGGTTCAGGATGGCTCATTTTAGTTGGGTGCTTCAAACTGAGCACTCTTTGAATTTATGAGATTGGCCACAGAAAGACGATCAGCTCAAATCCTAACCAGCTTCCTCACCCCAGGCCTCAGCATTTTCTGGGCACTCATATAGTGTGGGGTGGTAGTAGCTGGAGGCCTCTCCTGCCACCTGTCAAGCCAGGGAATAGGGAATTACCACTTCCTGCTCTGCCACACCTCCTCTTGCCCATTCAAAAGCAAGTCTCTTGCTTCTCTCCATGGGAAGTCCTGTCTACAGTTCAAAGTGCATCCTTCCCCAGCTCCTGTCCATTCCAAGAAGACAAGGCTGAGACTTTCATTCTTGATTTAGGTCTTTGCTCCTTAGTGGACAACAGTCATTCCTCTCCTTTTAATCTCACACTAAGGGATTTATCCATTTTGATCACCAGCTCCTTGACCATCTCCTTGTGACTTCCCCACCCATCTGAGGTCCAGCTTTACTGGGCTCCATTTACCAGCTCCCAGGAGATCGAGTCAGTCTCACTCCAGAGTGGGAATGGTCAGAGGGATCCAGCTCAGAATTTTCCCTGCTGGAAGGCAGCTCCAAGCCGGCAAAAATAATTGGGTTTGAAGTATGAACCTGGCATCTGGTGTGGGAGGTCCTTCTGTCTATGTGTTGCTTTTATTGATTAATGAATAAAGAAACTGGCTTGATCTATAGCAAGGGAGAAGGAAGGCAGAGTTGGGGAGAAGCCATGGAGCTGCCACCGGAGACAGACCTGCTGAACTTTGCTGATAGGTCACAACCTCGTGGTGATGCACAGATTAATAGAAATGGGTTAAATTAATATGCAAGAGTTACCCAATAAGAAGATAGAGCTAATGAGCCAAGCAGTGTTTTAATTAATACAGTTTCTGTGTGATTATTTTGGTTCTAGGCAGCTGGGATGAACAAGTGACCTCCTTCAACAGGCATCTCTACTCACCTTGAACAGGAAGACAAAAAGGCAAACCACAAAACGCTCACTGCAATCAGTTTGCTGGCAGGAGAGCTGGAGGAGCCCAAGAAAGGCTCAAGGCACAGGTCTTTCTTTAACACTGAGCCTCCGGACTTAGACTCCGGTACAATTCAGAGGAGTAAGAGGATTCCATGTGATGAGAAACCACTCTTTGTAGCAAGCAGGACTACTTACTGTGCTGCTGCAGGATCCGTTATCCTCTCCGAGCTTTCGTCATCTTGGAGGCAGGGCCTGGACTGGATGCCGTGTTGGCTTGATGGAAATGCACTTTGCTCTCAAGGAGGATCTGGATTCCCTCAAGGAAGAGTTAGAGCAACAAAATCTAATCAGAAAGGCTCACTCCAGGAAATGTGCAAACCTAGTGAAAGATTGGAGCAAAGTCAAACAACAACTTGAGAAGATAAATGGGAATGTGGGCTCTATTGCAGAGTGGAGTAAACAGATCTGTCTGCTGACTTCTGAGGTAAACACCTCAAAACCAGAGCCCTCTTAGCTGTGCACTTGGCTTGCCTACCACGGTGGAGGGTCTTCAGATGAGCACCACTCTCACTGGCAACGTCTTAAACAGTGTTCGTATTGCCATGGAGGCAATGTGGAAAGCTGAGTGTACAGAATGGAATTACGGCAGAGTGATGTGGAGAGTAATTTAAGTAACCAGATAATCCCATCACCATCAGCCACACCGAAATTTGGTAATAAAAACCCAGGTGACAAGGTAGGTTTGGCCTGGGAGCTGTAAATAATTCTGGGGGGACATCGTTAGCTTTAGGATTAGATTCGTTGGCTTTTTATTCTTTGTTTAATTTAATCCCAATCTGGGAATCACAGAAGTCTTGTTGGGGTTTTTCACAAATCTCTTTCAAGATTTGTAAGTGTAAGAAGTATTCAGAGGAGAACTACATTTTCCGTCTGAGTGGGTTCCAGTGGTACTCAGCCTTCCTAATGCTTCAACCCTTTACGACAGTTCCTTATTTTGCGGTGACCACCCACCTCATGATAAAATTATTTTCATTGCTACTTCATAACTGCAATTTTGCTACTGTCACGAATAACAATGTAAATATCTAATATGCAGGGCATCTCACACGTGACCCTGTGAAATGTTGAGAATCATTGTGCTGGACTGTTTGCCCACTCCAGCTGCACAGAAAGAATGAGAGAAAGCGTTCATGACACAAAGGTTTGGTCCAATTTATCCTGACAGATATGAATGCTGTCTAGTAGTTTTAAGCCTTCCAAAGCTGCCATCTTTCTTTATTAGACATTCAATTTGATATTGTCTAATCTTCATTTTTTTGTAGAAATATTAAACTTAAATGTTTTTCCACGAGAGTGTTTACATTTTTCCTTCTAATTTTTTTTGGCGTAATATTGTCCTTGTCTACCTGCACTATTTCATTTTGCTGGGGGTTAATGAATAGTTTAAAGTCATCTGGGCACTTTAAGAAACGTGATGACTCATGCTCTTCTGGGAGCTTTCTACACGACATTCCCACTCTTGATATATATACCATTTCAGATGTCACAACCAAATAAAGCTCTAACAGCGGACTGAGAATGAGAATAAACAAGTTAAATGTACAAAGATTAGACTAACCATAGTGGCAAATACATGTGATTCCTGTATTCGGAAGGCCAAGGTGGGGGGATCATGAGTTGGAGGCTACCTTGGGTTACATAGGCAAAACAGTAAAGATGAAGCGGAAGAAGGGGAGGCTGAGGGTGAGGAGCAGAAGCAGCAGCTACACCAAAGCTGACACAGCTTTATAGCAGTTACACTCTGGAACATGTGAGTTGCCCATCAATAGTGTCAAGGAGCCAATGTTCACACCAGTTTTGAGAAGTGAAAATAACTAGTATAAGGCTAGCAAAACTGGACTTGGTGGTTTTCTATAAAGAGGACACAAGTTAGGGGGTTAGGGAAGGGGAGTTGTATCTGGGAGAAGTTAAAGGGTTGAATATGATCAAAAGGCACTGTATAAAATTCTCAAAGAATTAATGCTAATTTAAAACAACAAAATAAAGAGAAAATTTTATATTAAACATACGCACAAAATAAAAAGAGAAAATATAAGGATCTATTGGCTGGAACAAAACAAATAAGATTCTGGTTTGGGCACCCAAAATCTAATATTAAGAGGGTCATTCAACGTATTTATAAAAGCGTGATAAGATTTTTAACTTGTCAGAAATTATGGAAAAAGTTCTTTGTATCTTGCTTACACATTCATGTGGAATATCACCATTGGTGAACATAGTAAACTATCTTAGCAACTAGAACACAAAATAACAAAAAAAATAGCAATGGCATTCAGCTGGACAACATGCAGAGAGTGAGAGACCCTGGAACCGTCATCTCTAATGGGATGTCTCAATCAAATCCCTCCCCTCGGGGCTCAGAAAATCCTACCGAAGGGGAAGCAGAAAGACTTTAAGATTCACCAAGAAGACAAGACTTTCTAAACACAGTAGGACTGACGCACATATGAGCTCATACTTGTTGAGGCAGCATGCACAAGCCTGAGCGTATCTATGCTAGAGAGGACCAGCGCTAACGGTGGGCAGGGGTCACCGCCACAAATGCAGAAGCTCTCCCTAGTTGATAATTGTTCACACATGAAAAACTAGTGTTCTCTTACAGACTCTCGCCGAGTACACAAACCACTCAAGGGCAGGCCAGATACTGGCAGTAAATGGGTAACCCAAGAAGAACTCAATGGCATTTTGGAGGTTCTTTGTCTCATAACATTTTTGCTATGGCTCTCTCTCATTTTCTTACAGGTCCTTTGTGTTTTATGGGATTTCTCTAAGTGTGAATGTGTATGTTCCTGCAGCGATGCTTTTCTAATGCTTTTCCTTAGGTTCTTTGCTTAGGCTCTTTGTCTTGTTTGTTTTGTCCTATTCTTCTTGTTTTAATTATTCTATCTAATTATATATCTTTCTTAGATACCTGTTTGCTTCCTGATGAGAGAGAGCAAGAAAGGATGCAGATTTGGGTGGGTGGGTGGGAGGTGGGAAAATCTGGGAAGACTTTGAGGAGGGAAAACTATAATCACAATAAATTGCATAAAGCAAAACCTATTTTCATTAAAACATTAGTGATGGTATAAAATAAACCATTTTCATAAAGGTTTTAAAGACCCAATTTCTCAAATACATTGGACATGATTCCTAATGTCAGCAGTAAGTGCTTATTGATACAATTGTGGATTTGAAAGAGTCGGCTCTTTCTGAATAGAAACAGAGAAGAGGGTGGATGGGATAGGGATGGGGTGAGAGGAGAGGAGACAAGCAAGACTGTGGTCAGGATATAAAAACATAAATAAAAATAAAAAATGAAAATGAAATAGTTTTACTTGTGAGCTTTAATTAGCACGTTAGCCAACAGCAGACATTTCTGGTAGAAGTCTAAGAGCCATCTTATAAAAAAATTTCACTATGCACATCCAGAGACAGGGATGTACATTTCAAATATGTGTGAGCAAAAACATGGAAGTCCAGTGCCTAGTTGACTTAACTTTCCTAGAGAGCTATCAGGGAGGGAGTAGAGAGCATAGGAATACAGGAACTCTAGAGAAACTTAGCTGTAATAGGGACTAAATGCTGTATTCCTAGAAGGAAGAAATGTGGTCAAGGGGAGTTTCCTAATGAGGAGAAGTAAAAGTTTCATCTTGTGATAGGCTGAAATGTATTCTTATCCAAACGTATCCAGAACCTGTACGAGTGACCAGGTCTACTTGTAGATGTCATCCGCTAGAGTTCATGTTAGACCTGAAGAGACCTCAACTCAAGGGCTTTCTTACACAGAGTAAACACACAATATAAGCACATAGAGAAGAGAATGTCCCTGCATGTGGTGCAGATACTGGAGCGACATGTCTCCAAGACAAGGGCAGTGATGGCTGCGAACAAGCTTAGAGGTGAGCGGAGCAATACAGTCTCCCTAATCCCCAGGAGCAACCTGCTGCCCTGGAACCACCTTGACTTTGAGCTTCTAGCTCCAGAACTAGGGGATGGTCATCTTTCATTCCAAGCCACAAAATCAGTCCTGCCTTGATACACTAGCCTCAGGCAATACACACACACACACACACACACACAGCGATGGGGATGAACCAATGGGAAACAGGGTCCGAGTGGCAGAGATCCAGCTGTGGAACAAATGCCCTTGAGAAACAAGAAGGGGCCTTAAAGATGGCAACGTGCTTCAGGCAGATATAAAAAAAACTTTCATGGGGCAAACGTGTGGGTTACTTTAAGTAACGAGTAATAGTAAGGTCACAACACTTAGTGATCAGAGATAGGCCCTAACAAACGCATCCACAACGTTCCAATAAATAAAAGATGGAGCCCTCCTTCTAACAGTCTAGGAGGCGGCTCGGATGTCACCATTTATTCGCTTGTCATTTCCCACCATTATTAACAGTTATTTCACCAGGTTAATTTGCTCATTTTAAGCCTAAAATATTGAGCACAAAAAAATGTGACAGGGTCAGGAGGGCCATTTTGGGAAAACAATGAATTGCGTTTGATTTGGCAGCCCGAGGAACCAGTTGCTTTGGTGACGATTGTACATCAAGGACTCATCAGCAAGGATGCACTTGCCGAGGTGCCTAACGCGCCCCTCTCTATTTCAAGAAGGTAGCACCTCCCACCTGCTCCCTTCTTAGAGGAGTGTACCTGCTGACGCTGTTGTAAGTTGGCTCGCTGGGTGGCTTGACTTTGAGAAGGCAGGCTGTAAGGTGAGAATCTATTTGCCTGAGAAAGTTGTAAAGTCCGAGTCTCCTAAACTTCTTTGGAAGAAGCCAGTAAACTCTCCAGACAACAGCACTGCCCCAGTACAAACAGACATTTGTGCTGAAAGGGAAAGGTGGGCCTCTGCGCCCAGGGTGGTAACAACCGACCACAGGGCACGCGCCTAGCCTACCCTGATCCTTTGCGAAACGACTACGGGGCATGCGCGTGACCCTTGACTCGTCAGAAGCTCTCACGTCCACAAAATGCAGCAAAGACCGCAGGGCGTAAGTCAGCTCTGCTACTTAAGCAGCTACAAGAAGTCCTGTGGGTATCAGAGATCATGGACACCTAGAACACCTATGCCACACTTTTTTTTTTTTTAACACAGATGTTTAAATTAAAAAGCCAACAGAACTAGGCGGTGGTGGCGCACACCTTTAATCCCAGCATTTAGGGGGTGGAGGCAGGCGGATCTGGATCAGTTCGAGGCCAGCCTGATTTACAAGACCTAGTTCCAAGACAGGCTCCAAAGCTACAGAGAAACCCTGTCTCAAAAAACAAAGAAAAAGCCAACAGCAAGCTTACAGTGCCCTGCTAGGAAACAAGGAGCAGTGGTTTTTCCAGAATGGAAGAGGACAGAGAGTGACAGTTATAGGTTTTCACAGAAAATAAAACAAAGACATAAAAACTAAAGTAAATAAAATGCTTTGGGATGCTAAGGGAGAGATGCGTCTTTAAGCAATTGCTTGCTCTAATGACTGACATCAGGAGCAGCCCTGATGTTGCAATGTCATGAGAGAGCTCTAGGTATGTACCTTTAATGATCACGTATTTTCTGGGAATGAAGAGAAGGTTTTGTTTATGTGCAATAGCAAATGAACAGACCTGGGATTCCTTTGGAATATGCAGTCTGAGGTACCAACAGGGTCACTGATTTGGATGGTGTGCTGATAATATCTGTTGCTGCATAAATAAGCAGATGTTTATGTTTGCTAAAGTATGTTAGTTAAAGAAATACTCAGCTTATTGAAGCTTTTTCCCTGTGAAGAAAGTTGTTACTCTTCAGGAACCTTGGGAAGATCCGTAGATGAGTACTGATTGGCAGTCACAAATGTAGCTCTATAGCAGGTTTATCTATTGCTATACAGCTTAACATATCTGATGATAAACATCACTTGCGAAGCATACTATGAAACAAATGAGAAGAGCTTCGGGGTTTAAAGTCTGGTGGCGAGGGAGAGTTAACTTGGCTTCTCTATGCCTCATTCTGGGGATAGTAATACGAGAAAGGATGAAAGAGCTGAATCTCAGTGTTAGAATAACGTCTAGCAACTGTATAGCAGGTTCTGAGGAAGTGAACTCCTGACATCATTAAGGAAGACTTTGCCCTTTTAGGACTTCAGCTGTATTTTCTAAATGTTTTTTTTTTCCACAAAAACTTGATTTTGTTGAAAATGACAATAATAAGACATGCTGACATACTTCCCTCTACTAAATATTGAAAATAGCATCATTTTTCCTTCTCTTTTGACTTTTAGAAATTTGTTAGACTCTGGTGGGTGTGATGGTCATACCTGATATCTAAGCATTCAGGAGGCTGAAACAGGAGAATTTCTTTGAGTTTAAGGCTAGCCTAGGCTACATACCAAGTCCAAAGCTAGCATTGGGTAAAGAGTATAACCTAATCTCAAAAGACCACGCCAAGTTTTAAAATTGTCAGCGACGTTATTGGCGATAGTATTTGTTCTGAGGTTACACTGTAATTGGTAATCCCTGTATAACTCACTAGTCCTTGTTAATTTGGATGATACGTCATCATCTTCTGCAAACCCCAACAAGGTAGAAGAGCAAGCACAAGTATAAACATAAGCCTTTCAGGTCAAGGTATAGTCCATGAAGGGAAAACAACAGGTTTCCCTTTCTATACAATAATAAACGACAACTCTCATGAAATCGAAAAGCCCAAGTATTTACTAGTAAGTCAAGAATGGAGCTTAACTAGACAGAGCACTGACATTTAGCTCAGTGCCCAGCACCCTCCTCCCGTGTAACTGTATAAATGCCTGAACAGGACAAAATGGGACAAGATAAGCATACGGGAAGGGTGCTGCAGAGCTCAGGCACATGGGATGTAAATAGAGGTCACTTGAATGAACACTTGGAGCTAATTACATCACCATCAGTACGCCGACGTACTGGCCTCCTCTACAAAGTCAGCCATTTCATTATCAAACTTAAAGTTCTATTTTCGCTTCTCATTTGCTCTGATGAGCATAAACAACAGGATCAAAAGCAATTTGGGGGAGGAAAGAAAGGGTTTCTTAGGCTCATCATCAAGGGAAGGAAGCCAAGGCAGGAACTCGAGGGAACCTGGAGGCAGAAACTGAAGCCCCCCCCCAACCCATTCACAGTAGACCTAAAAGCATCAACAGCTCACAATCAATACAAGCGCAACAAACAAGATTATCCTTTTTAACATTTACTTTTATTTTCAACTCTATGTACACATGTCTGTCTGTCTGTCCTTATTTCCACACAGAGGTAAGAAAAGGGCAATGGGTCCCATGAAGCTGAAGTTACAGGAGGTTGTGAACTCCCTCATGTAGGATGCTGGGAACCAAAGTTGGATTCTCTGCAAGAGCAGTATATATTCCTAACCATTGAGCTGTCTTTTCAGTCCTAAAAATCTTCATCTTGACACTGATCTCCTAAGGAATATAACTGAACTATTCTCTTGTGATAAACATTGTTAATATTAGTCAAAATAAATTATTCTATAACTAAGTGTGCATGGGACTAAATCAGCATTAATGTAAGTTGTTGTGTAAACAAACTTAGCAGCCAAACTTCAATTTTATTGCTAACTCAACACTGTTGTGCAAGAAGGGAAAGATTAAAAGATTTTTTAAAAGTTTTCCAGGCAAGAACCCACTAAAAATGTACCTCTCGCATGATCTACGCAGTAACGTATGTTTAATGGCTGGAATAGCCTGACAACCCAAGGGCAGAATTGAGATTTGTTCCTTAATTAGGAACAAATTTGATCAGCTGTATCATTTCCAACAATGAAATTAAATCCCTACTGTGGCGCGCCCCCTGACCAGCAGGGGAAGAAAGACCACCGACACGAGGATTCTTCTCTGATCACGCTTTTAATGAAGCCTGCTTGGTTGAGGGAGAGCTGGAAGTGAGGGGCCCCGAGCTGGGAGGAGTGGCGGCTTATATGCAGGCTGAAAAGATGTTCCCCCCTAACAGGACACTAGTCAGGCTAGGATTGGTGCAAAGCTGTTGCTAGGCAAACTAAGGCAAGACTCGCGCCAAAAATAGAATTGCTTATCTTGTTTACCATGCTTCTCAGCGCCATCTTGTAATGGCGGATCTCAAACACGTGTGGATCCCCACACTTCCCCCTTTTGTTTTAAATCGTATAAAATATACCGGTCATAGCTGGGGATAGTGGATGCTGCCCTGAAAAATATTGCCACTCCTTTTTCCAGGGATAGGGTAACATTGAGGGCGACCTATATGCTCAGCATCATATCCCCCTGATAGGATCTGATCAGTGCACTCTCAGGTGCAAGCTATCCGTGGTAGCCTCTGACCGGTGCCAACCGGTCATCCAGTCCCTCTGGGTGCAATGGCAACAAGGCCTCCAGGTGCAAGGGCACTGGATTAGAGGTCTTGAAAAATGCTGATCCATGCTTGGGGGGACTGGCCGGCTTCCAAAGCTGCCAAAGCTCGAGCAATTGCAACCTTCTCCCGTTTCCTAACACGCAGCATCCTACAGAGCAGGAACAAGACAAGTATCAGACCTGCAAAAATTATCATGCCGAACATGCCAACTCCAACCCACTCTTTAAAATAGGTGAATGTAGCTACTAACCAATCAGAAAACTGTCCCAATGTAACAACTTCTACTTCTGTCTGGTTAAGCATGTGTATCTTAAGCGTAAAATTAGCTTGAAGCTGTTCAAGTTCTCGGGACCAATTTCCACTTAATAAGGCTGATATAGCTTTGGAATCATTAAGGGTAGCAGGATAGGGGGTAATCATAACATCAAAAACTTCCACCTAGACACAGCATGCCAAGAATATCTCTGTTCCCACCCATTCCCAAGGAAGGAAAAGGCAAAATAGAGTAAGAGATGAGAGGTTGAAGGTCATCTCTGCTGCCTCCACATGAATCTTCCACAGCAGGACACTCAGCATCCACTGGGTCATTTTTCTTCTTTATTTCTCTTGTCGGTCTTGCTGGCACTCAGATGTATGTCAGCATTCCTAGAAAAACATAAACAAAACTCTCCTCCCAAATTAATATTTAAGAGTATTAAAAACTCTCAGTGTAAAAATTCAGCACAATCAGTACTGGAAGTAGACTGGTTTTGAACTTAGGGATCTACAGATCTCTGCAAAGAGCAAATCTTGTTTGCCTGTGCCATTACAGCAGGCCTTAAAATTAGACGGAATTGCTTTCAAACAGAGCATGTATGTCTGTTGCTGTTTTTCCAGCAAAATCCTTCTCTTCTTGCTCAGTTAATTCATCCTCCTCCTCTGAGTCCATTATCTCGAGGGAGGCAAATTCTTCCAGCACCGGATATAAGGACGCTGGAGGCTTTTTCTTAATATTATCCGTTTTTTGTTTCTTTATGAGGGTTCTTTTCTTCCCTCTCTTTTTCTTCCTTCTGGCTAGCCTTTTTCCTTTCTCTTTTATTTTTGCGCATGTTTTGATCCTCTCCTTTTGATTCTGCTTCTGATAAACTGTCCTGGTGCTCTGATAGTACCCTGCGTCCTTGCTTAATTACTTCTATATTTTTCCCTTCCTTAAGGCACGAATGTACCAAACTCCACAAGGGGAGCGTTCCTCTGCCTAATTGATCATTTTCCTCAAGGTCTCTGCCTAGTTTCTCCCAACAGTTGAGGGTGAGATCACCAGAAACGGCAAACCACGGTGCAGTCTTATCTATGTCCTTGACGATGGCCTGAATCGTACTCGTAGAAATCTTTAAACCCCTTTGTTACTGCCCACTATTTACGAGGTTTTTGGCATCAGTCGAAAGCCGCTTTATCTACAGCGGACTTACTTTCGATTCCTTTATTTACGAGGCCTTGGCATTAGTCGAAAGCCGCTTTATCTACAGCGGACTTACTCTCGATTTCTACACCCAACAAAGACACTCCTTT